AAAAAAAACGAATTATACCGGTTTGCGTTATTTACACACAAAAAAAAACTTGGTAAAATCAACTGTAATAATTGTCAAACAGGCCCCAACCAGCAAAATTGTCAATTCTACTAAGTAAATAGTCAGTTCACAACAACAAAATACACACAATTAGCAAAGACACAAACCCAAAGCAAAAACAAAATACACGGAACTATTTTAATAGTTACGTAACTATCTTTGTTGGTCAATTTTACCAAGCAAATTTTTTTGTGTGTACCTGCAATAGAAAGAAGACTTTTGGGAAAGTTTCATTCCGATAGCTCAAAAACTGAGAGACTAGTTTGCGTAGAAACAGACAGACGGTCAGACGGACAGACGGACATGGCTAGATCGACTCGTCTAGTGATGCTGATCAAGAATATATATACTTTATGGGGTCGGAAACGTCTCCTTCACTGTGTTGCACTCTTCTGACTGAAATCATAATACCCTCTGCAAGGGTATAAATAATTCAGAAATTAAACATTTCAAACTTTAAAAAATCTTTAAAAAAAAAACCTGTGCCATCGAAAAAAAAAATTAGTGCTATTTTCGTGATCTAGGGGTCCAAAACTAACAGAATTTGCCATCAATTGCTGGGGAGCATTTCGTTTGTAAACTAGTGTTTTTGGGATTTGAAAAAATAAAAATTCCATTTAACGATTATTTGGGATTTGAAAAAATAAAAATCTCATGTAAGGATAATTTGAGATTTCAAAAAATAAAAATCTCAAATAACGATTACATTTTATTTTTATCATAAAAATCCTGAAATAAAAGTTTATTTAATTTTTAGAGCATGGAGGAAACAACAAAATTTTTGGAATATAGCAGCTATATGTATGTAGCTTAATTCCTTCTTAGTGATTTTTATTTTTCAATAACGATTATTTTCGGTCCCTGATTTTGAATCAAAACGCCTTTTAAAATTACAATGTTTGTATTTGATTACTAGACATCGGATTTTTGGTTTTTTTTTCTTTGTGGTCAGAAAAATCTAAAAAAAAATCAATAAACTTATAAAAATACAAGCTTTAAGATAATAATGGCATATCGGAAATATGCAGTTTTTAGGACAAAAAAGGTTAAGGAATATGCCAAGCATCTCTTGACCTATTTTGTTCAGGTCAAAAAAGGTGAAAAAAGGTCGGGTTTTATTTCCAATTCAATGATATAATGTTCAATGCTTTTATGTTGTTGCCGGGGTCATTATAAGTATAATTTTAGCTTGTTATTATTTTCTTATAATTTTTGGTTTTTGTCTTTGCCCTGTTAGTTTTTACTACCATAACAATGTAAGGAGTGTTGAGTCAGAATAAAGTAGTATATGTGGTTAATAATTATTTATCTTCTCCTGGTAATATCGAATTGATTAAAGTTTTACTATTAGACTAATTGGATAAGAAAAGTTAATACAACAAACTTTTAAAAACACAGGGCGGCAACACTACTACTATTACTATTACACTACTATTACTACTATGACTAGCATACAGCTGCTGCTTTTATGTTTATACCCTTGCAAAGGGTATTATAATTTCAGTCAGATGTTTGCAACGCAGTGAAGGAGACGTTTCCGACCACATAAAGTATATATATTCTTGATTAGCATCAATAGCAGAGTTCATCTAGCCATGTCCGTCTGTCCGTTTCTATGCAAACTAGTCCCTCAGTTTTAAAGCTATCGTGATGAAACTTTCCCAAAAGTCTTTTTTCTATTGCAGGTAGTACATATGTCGGAACGAGCCGGATCGGACCACTATATCTTATGGCTCCCATAGGAATAATCAAAAAAATAATAGAAAAACTATTGTAACTTTGTAGAAAGTAGGCGTTTTGATTTTTGACAATGTAAAAACAACATTTTAAGTAGGCATACCTGCAAGGATATATAAACTTCGGCTAGCCGAAGTTAACTTCCTTTCTTGTTTTTAACTATGTTTTCTAGAGTATGTTTCTGCCTTAAAAAAATCCTAAAATTATTCTAAGTATAGGGTTTGAAAAATAAAGAGTGTATCCATGAATCCGTTTTGCATCTGAGACCTCCGGAAAATTACCCAATCTCAGCATTTTTCAAACTTTGAGGTCCTTGGGCTAAGAATCGTGGCATCGGGGAACTTTTTGGAAAACACAGTTTAACTTGGGAATTTGTAACGCATTCAAAAATATAGCATCCATGGAGGTAAATTTTAGATGTTGCATAGGGTTATTGCTTTAAGTAGGCTTTTGAGCTTTGAAACAAATAGTTCTGATTTCGAATGTACAAATTTCATAGAGAACAAACTCTATAGAGTAGGCTGGGTCGATATGTTGTATGGCTACAATTTGGATTTTCACTATTACATGCCTACTTGGGGTTGCCGCTACAGTCGGGTTGGTGTCCCGACTATCTAATACCCGTCACTCGGCTAAAGAAAGTGCGAGGGAGATGGATATATCAAATTTTTTGATTGCGTATGTCTTATTAATGAACGGTTCGATTTGAAAAATGTCTTCTACATTTCGATAGGTATAAATATACACAAAACAAGAGAGAACGCTATAGTCGGGTGCCCCGACTATCAGATACCCGTTACTCAGCTAATCCGCCGTAACTTTTTAACGAATGGTCTGATTTAAAAAATTTCTTCTACATTTCGATAGGTATTGATAAACACAATAAAACTGCATTTTTACCTTTCATAAATATTGAAATTTTTAAACAAACTTGCGCTGCGTAGGAACTCCTAGAATCTGCATGCAAAATTACAATCTTCTAGCTTTTATAGTTTCCGAGATCTCAGCGTTCATACGGACAGACAGACAGACAGACGGACATGGCTAGATCGACTCGGCTAGTGACCCTGATCAAGAATATATATACTTTATGGGGTCGGAAACTTTTGCACGAATACAAAATACCCTTTTACTCTACGAGTAACGGGTATAAAAAGGACCACAAATCGCTAAACTCTGTTGGGCTCACAGTTTTCGTGGTAGAATCGAAATGAGAATTGATGCATTTATTTTGACAATGCCTCAACTTACCTACATTTTTGTAATTAGTACAAATTTTAAAAAAGGAATTTAGAAATAAAGGTGAAAAAGGATTATATGACCTGTCACGTCACTGTCAGTAGAGGTAGGTTTCGCTCGCGTTAGAAGTATTACGGCGCAATCTATAGGTATATTAATCAGGGACCGTAAATAATCATTATTTGAGATTTTTATTTTAAAAGGCCAACTGAGGTTTTTACAAGTTTTAATCAACAATTTAACTGGTTTTTATGCCTTTTATAGACATGAACAAATAACAGTTAATTTGCTTTCCAGATTTGTTGAAATGCATATACTTTGTGGACAAGAGTAAAAAGAACGTTATTTTTGACGTTTAAAACCATGAATAAAAGTTTTAAATAATGATTATTTACGGTCCCTGATATTAATTTCTAACAGTGTAACATTTACCTGATAATAAGACGACTATGTCGTATTTTTTCTTTACTTGGTTAAGGGCCGGTTTCTCGAGTCCCTGTCAAAGTCCCTAATAGCTATCTGTTCGAAAAACTTAAAGACCAGATAAACTGTTCGTAAAAACAAATCCGCTTTCTCGACTGCTTAAATTTATCTGAACGAGAAACAATTACAGAATGCTGTTAACTCACAGAATTGTGCTGTAAAGCGCAATAAATGGCGTGCTTCGATTATTTCATCAGCTGTTTGGGTATAATTCAAAGCATGGTACAACTATACAAGGTAGTCTCGTCGGCAAAATGTAGTCCGTTAACGATACTGACAGTCGTGCGAATAAAAGGGACAGCGATATCGCTCAAGCACGTTAACGGACTAAAAGCCGAACGGTTAGGCAGCCGACGAGACTACCTTCTATAATTGTACCATGAATCAAAGGAATAGTCAGCTGTGACTTCGTTTCTTCTTCTTAGTTGGCTTTGGGAATCAGCTGTCATTCTATCGAGTCGAAAACGCTTAACAGGGACTCCGAGTCCCTGTCAAAGTTAGCTCTCACATTGTTGCTCGAAAAAGCCAAAATGCCTTAGCAGGGACTTTATCTGTTCGAGAAATGTTAGCCGGCACTCGGGAAACCGGCCCTAAAGGACATTGCGCATACGCCTCACCGTGCATCCGATTTTGTAGATACATTAAACACTGCACATGCGCCACCTGTCACTCAATTTTAGGGAAAAAAATTTAAACATAACCCAAAAACAGCTTATACATAAATACATTTAAAAGAAAGCTCTAAAAAAGAAAAGCAAAAAAAAGTGAAAAGTAAGCAAGTAAGAAACCGTGTTGGTTATCACTGTGCATAGTAAATGTCATTAAGATTCACTTAATGAGTCAATTTAGACAATTGATCCATATGCCTTAGTTTACGCGCACACACTCATGAATACACACATGCACTCGCGGGGGCATAAAGAGGTCTGCACATATACACCCATTTTGGGCATACATACATATATGTATAAATATACTTATACATAAGTATGCGTGAAATCGTGCGGAAAAATCGTTTTCGTCGGCTTAGCCCTGTGTATGTATGGGGGCCTATGACGTTATTACACGACACACACACTTAATTGCATTGCATTAAAATTATTCCGTTTCATTCCAGACTTAATTGATTTATTAAATTTGTTTCTCTCTTTTTGGTCGCCGCCACTGCGCTGTCTCACAAAACATTAAAAACAACAGAAAAAAATTTGCATAATCTACGGTGGATGTTTTTTTGTTTTGTTAATTAGTTAAGAGGACACTTGTGGTTGTAAATTATAATATTATCTGTAGTTCTAGATCTTTTGTTTTTCCTCTCGACTCGTTTTGTTTTTAGTTTTTCGTGTTTTTTTGTTTTTGTGTTAATGGATTAAGAGGACACACTTTTGGTCGGTTGATTGTGGGATATGATGGGCCTAGCTTATCTTGATTTTGGAGCTTAGTTTTAGCTTAGTCTTTAGCTAGTTAGGTTAGTGGCTATGTACCCGTAGTGCTGCTAAGACCCCAATAGTCTTCCATTGCTGCACGGTGTTGTAGTGGTGATGGACACTCGTAAACTGCGATGCGCCGTTGTATGAAGCGCAATCTCAATCCCCACTTCAATGGTGTTGATTTTCTCTTTCTTTCCTTTGCCGTTTTCTTTTCGCGTTTCTCTCGCCTCCCGCGCCTTTCTTTTATTCACGTTTCTTTTGCTTTTCTTTATTTTCTATGATCTCTTTTCCTTTGGCTTCAGTCTCTTTTCAGCTCGGCTTAAGTGAGACGGCGAGAGTTATCTCAATTTGTTCTAAAGATCCAGTTCCACAATGGCACGTTGAGTTCCCTGGTGGGTGGAATTGTGGGTGGTGAATGGCGGATGGCGGATGGCGGAACGGCGGCAATTGAGGCCCTGACACACACTGCCACGCACGGACCGAGACCCCACACACACGCACACGATTACACCTCGACAAGACGCTTCTGCATCTCGTTCCGTTCGAAAGTCGGACGATTTGTGGATGGCGATTTGTTTTTCAAAGCAGCTGTAAAAAACAGATCTTACTGTATGACTTTAATTATTTTTCTTTAAATTGTATTAAAATTGCGATTTTAGAAAGAACGCGGATCAAGGGAATAAAATACGTAAAATACTGATCTTTTTTTGATTCTAAAAAAAATTATGGAAAGCTTGTTTTGCGGTAAAGTTTGGCCTTCCCGATTAAGAAAAGGAGGTCAATTTTTTTAGGTTTAAAAAAGTTATTGGCCTCTTTCTGGGTCTAATTTTTTATCATATTTTCGGTTTATGCTAACCGATTTAGGTAACAAAGACTAATTTTACTGGTAAGAGTATGCCCTTCATACGTACATTCATACATAGAGTTCCAGTCATTAAAGACAAAGACAAAGTTTGGTCTTTCAAATTTTACTGCTTTTACTGGATGATGGTACTTTGACATTGGTTTCAAAGTTTATCACCCATACGCACTGTTGCCTTCGATCAAAAAGTTTTTCTGATCAAGGTGGCATAGATATCAACAATTCAGTTGATGTTTTGCTCTCCTTTTTTTTACCAATTATTCCAACGAAATTCATAATTTGACAAGACAACAAATGGGGGAGCGATTTTTTTCGACCAAATTCGAACTGTTATACATGTCGTATGAGTAATTTTAAAGCAAACTTTGAAGACGTTTCGCAAGGTCTAAATCTCGAAAAAAATTTGTTTTGTTTTCACATACTTTTGTTGCATACTTTAATATACCATGTTAAGGGGTGAGAAAAGAATTTCATTTTTTGGACCGCCCTAATGTACATATGTACATAGTTACCTTGTAGCACATATAGTTTTTTACACATAAAACAACACGAAGGGATGACATCGATATGCGCATGGTACATTTCTAGTATTTGTATGCATATCGTTTTTACCATGGAAAACTGGTAAAATGACATTAAATAATATAATTTAGCCGATTTCTCTCTCTCGAAGATTCTCTGACTTCAAAAAAGAGAGGAAGAAGCAATAAATTAAATTAAATTTAATTAAGAATTCATGAGTGTAAAGGAGATAGACACATTCGAAATTTGAACTGCCCTACTAAGATGAGATGTGATGCCGCTTATCAAGTCAAAATTGTCAAAAAGTCAAATTTTATCAAATCGATCATCGTTTTCACCAAGTTTTTTTGGGTGTAATAAAATATTTTTATCTATTATCTAGATATTTTTCGTGGTACAAGTGTATATAACGTAAGGTATCAGAGAGACAATAAAGCTTCAACATCCGAAAAATACTCATTTTATGCACCATGGCAAATCTCTAAAAGTTTAAACTTTTGGTAGTTGTGTGAGCTTAGAATCTTCTTAGTTTCCTTAATTGTTCATGAATTGTAACAACTTTATCAAACTTTGTTGGTACCTTGCTTTTATGTTTACGACTGGAACTATATAGTGAAGTTTTGAAGGCATTCTATTACCGGTAAAATTAATTTTTGATGACCCAAATTGGTTTATCAGAACTCGAAAGAAAAAATAAAGTATGCCCAAAAATATTACCGGAGTATTTTACCGATTTTATTTTGTAAACTCATGTAATCGGCGAGACACAAAAATCTATTTCCTTTTACCGCCGGAAAGAAAATACTTTGTGTTACTCTCCTGGGGTTATGAAACCTTTGTATTTCGTTTCGTGAGTCTAAGCAGTCTTTAAATAAACATATTTTAAATATAGTACACTTCGAAGTTCAGATTAATTAGGTCTAAGATTAGGGGTTTCGAGCAGTAGAAGTCCGACTGCAGTATCTATCTCTTTTGTTCTGGACCTTGCTCTTGACACTCTCACTTAAAGGTTACGGCACAACAACAAAAACACTAAGGCATATCCCGTTACGCAGCGTTTTTTGCGTTTCTTCCCGTTTTGTTCCGTTTTAATTCGTTACGATCCGCGTTTACTCGCGTCTTTGTACTCGCTGACATTAATCTCGATCTTTTCGTAATCGTTTCCGTTCTCGTTCCTTGTTCGCTGTCGAAAATGTTGCGATTAGTATCTCTGCTTCTCTTCCTCTATATTTATGTTTTTTTTTTAATTGGTTGATATGGTTTGGCTTGTGTTGTTGTGTGTATATTGTCTTGATGCCGCCGACGTTGACGTTAAACTGATTCTGAATCAGTGCTTGAAGCGTTTTAGTCCAAACCGAGCTCACTATTTTTACACCCTTACAGAGGGTATTATACTTTCAGTTAGAAGCTTGATTCTTCTTGATTAGCATCACTAGAGGGGTGGGTAGAGCCATGTTTGTCTGGTCGTTTTTACGCAACATAGTTGAGCGGACTTTAGCAAATTTCCAAAGTAGTAATACATACTACAACTATATTTTATTATAGGAAAATTGGCATGCATACGTTCGCTTTTCTAGAAATGTGCCTATGATTGCCTATGACACAATATTTGTTACATTTTTAAAAATAAGTGTAACTGAAACATGGAACAAAGAAATCATGTACGTAATTGTCATCGGGCTATTTACATACAAATCTGTTGCATTTATTTGGTTAAAATTGTAATCGCATGATGCAGTTTTAACTGCAAGAGTATATAAATTTCGGATTGCCAAAGTAAATTTCTTTTTTATTTTATGTTTTTTCGCCGAGCTTGATTTGGCTCTGCATCTGAGAGTATGTGTGCCTATATATGTACTATAATACAGTTTAACTGACTATAGACTAGACCAGCAGTTATTCAAAGGCGAATTGCTGTCTGGTGTGCGTGTCTGTATTTTATTTTTTCCGAGATCGTATGTGCTGGTTGTGGGGTGCATTGTTCGTTAGTATTTCAGTTATTCAGTTTCCCATTTTGTTTATTTGCATTTGGTCAGTTTTTTTCGGGCGGAGAGGGCATTGGCAAAGGTCAAGTCATGGTAGAGCGATCAACTAATTAAAGTTAAGCGCAGACTCGTGCCATTACTTCGGGGCTCGGCACCATTAATTCCCCATCCAGATTGCCCTGGCCCTACACCGAAAAAAAGGAATGATATTACAAACATACATATGTGTAAGGCCAAAAGCAAACGAAAACCATACCTGAAATATTAAATCACATATGGGACGTTCCATGTCAACCCGGCCACCCCACTTTTTTTTTTGTATATGGACAGTACCACATTGATTGCAAAGCCACTTGCTTCCAATAGCTTACCTCATACCTATTTTGTCAATGTTACCACTCTTTCGCCGTATAATCGCGTTGAAAAGAAAACACAAAATTATTTTTATCCTGCGAACGGAAGAATAAATTGGCATGGTTCAAAATCAGAAAAATCTGTCTTTCCATGGCCGATTACGAGAAAAAAATAGATTTTATTAGACCGTAGATGACCAAGCGATAGCGTTTTTAAAGTTTAAAAGTAGGATTTCGTCCAAAGGGCCAGTCTGCAAAAATACCATTATATTTTTCTCAGAAAGCCCCATATTTAACGGATTTTATGCCACTGGTTTCAAAGTGGGATCTCTCTTGAGGAATTAGCTATGAATTCTTTTGTACGTTTTTGTAGTCGTTAACTGTCAGAAAAAGCTAATAAGTAATATAAAATAATCGTATATGGGACGTTCCATGTCAACCCGGCCACCCCACTTTTTTATTTTTTTTGTATGTGGACAGTACCACATTGATTGCAAAGCCACTTGCTTCCAATAGCTTACCTCATACCTATTTTGTCAATGTTACCACTCTTTCGCCGTATAATCGCGTTGAAAAGAAAACACAAAATCATTTTTATCCTGCGAACGGAAGAAACAATTGGCATGGTTCAAAAGCAGAAAAATCTGTCTTTCCATAGCCGATTACGAGAAAAATAAAAGATTTTACATTTTACATTTTACCATTAAGAAAATCTCGATACGTTTCACAAAGAATCACTCATATATGTATATCAAAAAAGCAAAATACGTTTACGTATGTAAGTTAGTCAAAATCTTTAATGTTCTTAAAAATATGACTATCAGCTTGGTACCCTAAAATCGAAGAATCTATTCCTTTATTGAGCTAGACTTGGAAAAAAGTACAATGAGTTACATATTTGATCTTATGTTAAATCTTTGAAACTTGCACAACGCCATACCCAGCGCGTTATCTAAAAAGACTCCCGGATACTCCCGTCACGAAAACCATGAGATGGGTTCTCCAAACAATTTACTGGTTCGGTATTTGCTTAAAGCAGGTTCCCGGTTTATGTGACATCTGGCAACTGTCTCTGTTTGCCTTCGTGATATAAGATATAAGATATAAATGGATCCGCCATAAATCGCCGGCAAACACAAATACATAAGTACATAGCAGGACTGTTGATGTAAGACCTGCGGGCCATTAGCATCTACAGTGATGAACTTAACTCTTGGCACACTTGGCATCTTGGATTTTAGGTTCAATTTTCTCCGACTAATATATGAATAAAAAAATTAAACAAAATTTGTTTACATAAAGGCCACATTTAACTGTTAAAATAATTTAGTTTCATATTTATATCTGTTTAGATTAATTTTTTAAAACTCAAAAACGAAAAATGAGCCTATTCTGCCCGAACCAAATTCTTGGCACACTTGTGTGGTATTTAACTATTTCGCTAAAACTTACCCGATTTGACTCAATTTTTGAAGTGATTTTAAGGGGAACCAATATAACCATTTAAGATACAAAAAAAGATACTTTAGTATCCCAATCGACTTTTTTAACCTTTTTACTTTATCAGGTGCTATACCAATCCTTTCCATAGACTTAAGGACTCGGAAAGTTGACCTTCAAAATATATGAATTTTTTCTAGCTGCAAAAAAATGTAGTCAGCACATTGCAGGGCCTTTAAAAAGTCTGTTGGTTGAATATCCTTGTAAAAGTCCTTCCTATCCTAAACTTCGATCTGTGCATATAAAACCTAGGGGTTGACATTATCCTTTTTCTTGATCCTTTCGCTTCCCTGGCCTCTAAAACCCATGGGTCTGGCTGTGTGCCTTGCATTTTGGCACAGTGAGAGTCCTTTAAAACGCCGTAAAAGGATCCGAATGGTAAAAACAACTTCTGGGCACATATTTCCTAATATTAGCATATGATTGACCCTGATCCTGCCCTAAAAATATTATTTTTCTCACAGATATGGGTATTGACATTTAACATACTTTTATGTAACCGTTTTTAGTTAAAAATAAGTTATTTTAACGGTTTAAGGATACAAATTTGGCATTATGCCCACTAGACAACTGAGACAAAGCGGATTTAGCAAAAAAATTGATTCAAATCGGTTAAGTTTTAGCGAAATAGTTAAATACAACACAAGTGTGCCAAGAATTTTGTTCGGGCAGAATAGGCTCATTTTTTCGTTTTTGAGTTTTAAAAAATTAGTCTTTAGAGATATAAATATGAAACCAAATTATTGAAACAGAAAAATGTGGCCTTTATATAAACAAACTTTGTTTAATTTTTTATTCATATATTAGTCGGAGAAAATTGAACCTAAAGTCCAAGATGCCAAGTGTGCCAAGAATTAAGTTCATCACTGTAACTAAACAGCTAATAATTGGGCAAGTGCGTTTTTAAATTGACAGTACACACAAAAAAAAAACTTGGTAAAATCAACTAATAATTGTCAAACAGGCCCCAACCAGCAAAATTGTCAATTCTACTAAGTAAATTGTAATTTCACAACAACAAAATACACACAATTAGCAAAGACACAAACCCAAAGCAAAAACAAAATACACGTAACTATTTTAATATTTACTTAACTATTTTTGTTGGTCAATTTTACCAAGCAAATTTTTTTGTGTTTATTTTGTATACGAATTTGTTAATAAATACTTAAAGAATAAACACAACAAATTTGGATTAATTTCCTTTACTAATAACTTTTTAATGCGGACCCAAAGTCAATAGTGGCAAGCATGTACTCAGTTTTGCACCCCACTGTATATAATGGTAGTCGCTTCGTCACTACATGGACTGCCGTCCTGATTTCGGCTACCGACTTCTCTGATCACCCGAGCGAAAAAAAAATCGATTTTTAAAATTTTTACACCCGTTACTCGTAAAGTAAAAGGGTATATTGTATTCGTGCAAAAGTATGTAACAGGGAGAAGGAAGCGTTTCCGACCCCATAAAGTATACATATGGGCAATTCTCTGCTGTCGCACGCGACGTTCGTACGCTTTGCTGGTGAAAAAAACCATCTTCCAGGACCTATTTTCTTTTGGCACCCAAATTAAAGGTCTTGATTAGCTCTAAAATATGTGCTAGGGTTGACTTTGGGGCATTTTTCGTTTTTAAAATATATAAATATTACAAGGTATGCGTAAAATAATAAGATTTAGAAAGATTATTGTCAATAGCTCTTACACTGAGCGAAATATCTTAATTTTGTGAAAGCTATATCCGATTGTTCCTATGGGAGCTATAGGATATAGACGTCCGATCGGGTCGGCTTTCAAACTTGATCTGCGTACACATGTTTTAGGACGACTGTGAAAGTTTCAAGGCGCTGGCTTTTAAACTGAGCTCGCAAACGGTATTGACGGACAGACGGACATGGCTATATCGACTCCCCTATTGATCCTGATCAAGAATATATATACTTTATGGGGTCGGAAACGTCTCCTTCACTGCGTTACAAACTTCTGACCAAAATTATAAAACCCTCTGCAAGGGTATAAAAACATTTCTATTTCTCTTGTCGACAACTTTGCCGAACGCAGTCTAAGTTTTGCTTGTTTTTGTTATTCGCTTATTTTATATTTGTCGGAATTAAAATTTATTTGCACAGAATAATATTTTTCAAAAATGCTAAGTATATTTATACGTAATAGATTTATATTGGGGGGAGCCACAGAAATCGCAAAGCGCTGAAGTAGCGTAAATTTATATTAATGATCATAAGAAACCAAACCCCAATTTTGAGTTGGGCAATTTCTTATTCTTCCCAGAGTATTTACTTACAGCATCAGCAGGTTCAATATTCTCCTTTTCCTACTCCGACGTTTAGAAACATTCCAATTTTATTCCACATTCCAAACTTTTTTTTTTTTTAACCTTGCTTAAAAATGCCCAAAAAGTTTTTGGCCAATAGTAAGGTTCACCCAAAAGGGAATTTAATAACGAAAAAATAAGCTATACCTCAATTCGATAGGTTGAATAATTCGTTTAGATTTTAAATTAATCACACGTATGAATTGAAACATACATATAATGGAGTTTTACGACAACGTCCTTTGGTAGGACTGGTTTATATTTTGTATATAAGGTATCAACAGAATGGTTTAAGGGTTTCTCATTTGTTACTTGATAACTTTAACAATTAAAACTATGAATTTCTCTTCGTTACGCCTTCTCTCTCTCGCTCCGTCGCATGTAAATGCCCGCTATGTACACAGAAATTACAAACACAAGTTAGTTAGTTTAGCCACTAATGTTAGACCGACTGAAAAGGGAAACCTGATAATGATACGCATGAAGACAAAAAAAACAGTGGACTAAGCGATGGCGAAATAACAGCAATAGTTAGTAGCAGGAATCAAACTGAATCTGAATCAATTGGGCATGCCCACGCCCTGCTGGAACCCTAGCGTCTCCTGCTGCTTCTTGACCTCATCTTGCATCTCCAAGGCTAGCTTTTTGTACTTCTCGGCCTCCTTCTCGTTTTTCTCAATTCCATCGCCCCGGGCGTACATCTGGCTGAGATTGGCGCACGCATACATGTTGCGAAGCTCGCACGCCTTATGGGCGAACTGGAACGCCTTCTTCATGTCTTTTAGCACAATGTAGTCCGAGTCCTTCAAGGGCGTCTTTCCGGCGGGTGGTGCTGTTGGCCCACTTCCGGCGGATGCAGCCACCGCGCTCTGGTCAGGCTTCTTTTGCACGCCCGAGATGTGCATGCCGGATAGGTAAAAGCAGGCGGTAGCGTTGTTCATGTCGCAGCTCTTGGTCAGGAATTCCAAGCCCTGTAGGTTGTTAAATAAATTAATATTCTGCCGTACATTTACACTGTCAAAGTAATGGCGGGAAAATCCATAATATCCCTTTACATTTTATATATATCATTTATGTTTTTAAAATTATGAGCAAAGACAAAAGGAAAATAAGTGTCCCTTTGCTAACAAGTAAATTAAAAAGTGACTAATTACTTTACTTTTAAGTTATTACATGTGTCACTACTTGAATGCAAATTTTCAAAATTGAACAGCGTTATGTTTTTAAATTTGCTATGAGAAATATCAAATACCAAAATACTCGGACTTGAACTCAGACTATTCGTCACAGTGGGAAAGATGTATAAAATCAATGTTGGGCTCATAGGGTATTTTTAGTTTTGGTACCATTAAGCAGGCAGGAAGTACATATAAAATGTAGAAAGAGAAAGGTTAACCCATGGTTAACATAACATGCGCGTTACCATAACAGGTGTTTTAAGGAATGCAAGTAGTTCAGTACTTGTACATATCCATCATCATACCATCACCATTACCTTGGGCACATTTCTGTCGATCTCCTTGGGCATGGACCTCGAGACGAGAAGCAGGCCGGAGTGAAGGCAGGCATCCGAGTCGTTCAGGTTGCAGCCCTTCTCGTAGTACTCGTAGGCCACTCGGGGATCCCCCTTGCTGCCGCTCTTGCCCTTGCCTAGGAAGCTGTAGTTGCCGTATTTGTAGCAGGACTTTGCGTAACCGTAGTCGTCGCACGTCGATTTGTACACCTTGGAGGCCTTTTCGAAGTCCTTCTTGATGCCCTCCAGGTAGTCACCCAGCAGGTGGCAGGCTGCAATGCGAAGCGGTTAGCTCATATTTCGAAGTCTCGCCATTTGTTTTGTAATGTTCCATTTCCTTCCCGCGCAACCGAGGTTATATGGATCGCAGACTTTTTTGCCGCCGCCCCTGCCGGCGACGCCGCCAACTGCGCACTCACCTTCCGGCTTTTTCTCGGAGTAACACCCGAATCGGTACTCCACGCCCAACTTGTCCACGTACTCCTTCACGTCCGACTCCTTCTTTAGGTCGTAGGCCATGGTCAGCGATTTTTAATAGATAACAACCAAAAATTATTATGTTATGCTTTCTAGGGATGTCAAAAATATATCAAAATATCAATATATCGATATTTTTTGCAAAAAAAATATATTTATATCGTGATATTTATTTAGCCAAATATCACAATATCGATATTTTATTTTTCGATATTATTTGATATTTGCATATGGGCACTTCTACCAAAAGGTCCACCAAGCCAAAAACTTGAAACTTGAAAAAAACATATTTCCACATGATTTTGCTCCGATATTAGTTTCTAAATAGTTTGATCCTGAGCTTAACTAAAAATTTTGAGTATAGTTTGATTATTTTTTTGACAAACCCCACCAATATACGCAAAAATTAGTTTTTAGCTATTTTTTTATTATTTTTTGGACCTGTCTTCAGTTGTTAATTTATCCTTTAGGAATGGTAATATGTGACATTATTCTGTACTGAATGCTTAATTTACATGTTAAACTATTAAGTTAAATGCAAAACAGCCAGTAATTAAGGAAAGAAATAAACGGTCAGAAAAAATGTCCCGAGCGACATGTCCCAAACGAATCTGGTTGAAACTGCATAAAAAAAAACGGCAACAATTTTTAAGTAAAACCAAAACCATTTCAAAGCGACATGTTTGGACAACATTCTAAAAAAATCGCATTAAAATATTTCATCAGAATTCACTAAATTCTGTTGTTGAATTAACTTCCCCGAAATCCACTTCTATTTTTGTCCCGAGCTAATACGACAGTTTTTTAACGATACCTTAAAAACTAAAAATGGAACAAAATCAAGATTTTTACACAAAATAGAGCTTGGGAAGAGTTAATAGAAAAGCCTATTATAAAAATTAAAATCAATTTTTTTTCAACTTTAAAGATGTGCAAATGTCCCGAGCGACAATATGGAAGTGCCCATATCTTTCTCTCATCTGTGCACAAAAAAATGAAGCGTGTTAAAATTTATTTCGGTGAAATTAAGAAAAACAAACTAAGTGCAAACTTTGTTTGAAAAATATTAAAACAAGTGGAAATACATCAAATATGTTATCCCACTTGAAAAACAAACACTTTTATGTGTGGAACTAATATAATATAATAATAAATTATATTGCTTATACTTTTCTAGTGCTTTTACATTAATTTTAGGGCAAAAGTCTTTGTTGTTAGTTTATTTAAGCGGCTAAAATTTTGAAACTCAACTGAAAAAAAATATCAAAAGTATCTGATATATCGATGTTTTTTTGGCGATATATTATATATCATATTGATATTTTTCTTAAAGAAAATATATCAGCGATACGATATTTTTAAAATATTTGACATTCCTAATGCTTTCGTCTTCTGCGTGCTACAGTGTTACCAGGTAGTGAAATAACTTTCTTCCTTAATTTTTCCGATGATTTTTGTAGCTACATATCGTTTTAAATTATTTCTGCGATGATTTTTAAGGTTCCACTTTATATGAAATTAATTCCTAATTTAACCTCAAACCGTTAAATTGCTAAAAATTTTTGAAACTTCATTAAAAATGTTAGGAATTGAGACAACGAACCGAAGTAGAATTTCATACATGTTGCACACAGACACTAACAACTGTCTGTTCACATAGGCCGCCGCTGTTGCAAATGTAGCTGGAACTTTTGAAGTTAACAAACTGTTGAAGAGAAGAACAACTACGGTGATATTTCTCTGTAAAATCAAACATGCAATGTTCAAAATGTATAATAAATTAAAAAAGAAAGACAGCTAGCCAGCCGAAGCCTTGCAGATAAAGTAAATACTTATAGTTTAATGCTGACTCGGTGCAGTTCCAGGGATTCCAGATTCAGATTCTAATAGCCTCTTCTCATAGAGTCCATCCGTTTGAAACGGTTGGGATTTTTGACGAATGTGAAACTCATGGTCCCACAGAACTCCATCCACCATCTACCATCCAATAACAGCTGACTGAAGAGCAGTTGCTCAGCTCAACATTAACGAAGGGGGATTTAACTCGGGGAAAACTGTCGTAAAATTGCGTTTTCCTAATTTTATTGTACAATAATACAAAAAATAGATTAAGAAAATAGTTCAAAAACATATCTGGACGTTTATAACATATCCTACAACGAGTATGCAAACATATTTCTGACTGGGGGGAGCCTAGCCTCCCGTACCCCACACTCTTACTACACTTCTGCCTAGCCAATATTAATATGAAAAATTTGTAAACAAAACCAAATTTGTGCTGTTTTTGGTAATTTATAGCAACTTTGGAACTTTATAGGATTACAAAGTACACTTTAAATTAATGCTAGTTATATTTACGAAGTTCAGAATATATTTTGACACTTTGCTGCAAACATTGATGTTTTCGTACGCACAACAGCTTACATTTTGGCCCACACGCGAACGCTTTTCCGCTCATAACAAACTACAAATAATTAAAAAAAAAACCCAAAAAACAATGAGCTGAAGCATTATTTAATTTTTTCCCGACATCGATTTAATTTGTTCTCGCAGTCATCGTTCCAAATTTCACAGTCAAGAGGAAGAATTCAGAGTTGCACCGAGAAAACATCGCCTAACTATCGCATACAAGAGCCCGTCAAAGTCCGTCAAAATTGGATGGCGGACTAACTGGGAAATTTTCGGAACGCAAAACCTTACGGACCATCCGTTCAACGGATGGTAGATGGTGGATGGAGCTCTGTGGGAAGACCCTATAAAACAGTATCTGGTTTTGTTGAATAATATTTGCATTGAAGTGACTGTCACACACGTCGTTTTCTTATGGGGTTTTTCTTAACCTTAACGTCAAAAAACCGTTTAAGAGCAACTTTAAAAAATACCGAAAAATACTAATTACTGACTTTTTTGACCATATTATTGGTATTATCCTGAAATATTATCCAAGGATACTAAAATTACTTAGCTTATTTGGGGATCTAAGTAACAGAATCAAATATCACTGCAAAATCGTATAGAAATATGTTTTTATCAAGTTTCAAGCTTTTTGGCTTGTTTGACATCCTCTGAGAATTGCCCACTGAAGTAATTATCTAAAAGCACTGTGTCTGAACAGCCTAATAATCCCATAACTCGACCATAGTGTAAGCGGGCCTTAAAATCGTAGAATGTGACCAGATCACGGGAGGCCTAGACGTGTAACATTTCAAATGTGCTGGACGACAGCCACACTGGCGGACGTATAAAATATAATCTAAGTTTTGCATTTTCCTCTTGTTTTTTTTTTGTTTTTTCGTGTCCCCTTCTGAAAACTGATGTGTGTACGGGCAGGAAAGCTAGCAATCGGGAACTCACAATGAGCGCGCGCAGAACGAGGAGCGGTCCCACGCTTAATTTCAAGGCGGTGCTGCTGGGCGAAGGTAGGTTCGCCCTTCAGGAGGCGTGTAACCCATTCCCACAGGCGATGTCGGACTACATCCCTTGATTGCAGGTTGTGTGGGCAAGACGTCGCTGGTGCTGCGCTACATGGAGGACCGGTTCAATACCCAGCACCTGAGCACCCTGCAGGCCTCCTTCGTGACGCGCAAGGTGTCCCTGGAGGACGGGAGGAGGGCCCAGTTGAATATCTGGGACACGGCTGGGCAGGAGCGGTTCCACGCTCTGGGGCCCATCTACTACCGAGGATCTGATGGCGCTCTGCTCGTCTACGACATAACCGACCAGGACTCGTTCCAGAAGGTCAAGTCCTGGGTGCGGGAGCTCCGGCAAATGCGCGGCACAGAGATTGCCCTGATAATCGTGGGTAACAAGACTGATTTGGAGGAACAGCGGGCCGTGGCCCACGAGGATGCCCTGCAATATGCGCGCACAGTGGGCGCCGAGCATATGGAAACATCGGCCAAGGAGAACGAGGGCGTGGCCGAGCTCTTTGATCTGCTGACCCATCTGATGCTGGAGCAGCTTAGCCAGCGGGAACCGGACGGGGCTCCGCTGCGCCTCGAGTATCCGGATACGGGTGGCCCCAGTCACTCCGAGGATTGCGAAGTCTCTGATCACGGCGATCCTACGGGCCAGCGATCCTGCTGCGGCATTTAGCCGTCCCCATTGTGATAGTAATCATAATTATATACTAGTACCCTGTAGCCGAGGTTCATTTTGTGTATATATTGTATTTACTTATAGCGCGTATGTTTCTGTTATCAAATAACCCCAGTACCAAACTGACCCCACGTATTTTTGTTGATCCTCATTATTGTTGTCCAAATTGCTCAGACATTTCCGTTTCGTGTTCTCGGCATCTAGTTTGTGTACAAAATTTAGTGTTTGCCCAATCGAACTTTGTGTGCGTCTAGCAATAAATTATGTTGTACTTGCACTTTTATTCTTTTCGGGCGACTATTTATCGGAAGGATTGGTTGAATTAGCCTGTTTCGGCTTAAGAGCTAAAAAGTCTCGGATGATTTCTTACATTACATACATACATTATAGAATAAAAAACTTTCTTATTGAAAACATGACCCATTAACATTTTTATACATGCCTAGTGCATTTCTCATTGTGATGCATTTTTGAGGGTATGTTGAACAAAAAATTGCTTCCATTCTATATACTCTTCTAATAATCTAATGAGTTAATAAAATATCAATATGGTGTGTGGGGGTACGAGCTTGGGGAAAGAGTAATTACCCTTTTTTTCTTGCAGAGGATCGTATTAGCAACATTTTCGACTCTATGAAGTATCAAATAAAAACACCTCTTAACGAGGTAAAAAACTAGTGACGATCGCACCTTCAACGTACAAAAGTTCTGATATCAACTTTTGTGACGAAAAATGATTTTAGGTGCGACTAAATAAGTACGCTACCTAAAATTTACTCGTTCGGCCCGCTTTAGCAAATATTTAATATCTTGGTATGCAATCCTTTAAGTTTTTGCAATACCTTTCGATTGGTGTATTACTCATTACGATCGGACTATCACAACAGATTTTCCATTTCAGTACCAGCAGGAGTGTTGAGCACGCGGCGACGCGCCATCTATGTCACGGAATTGGTACTATTCATACACAAAACTGTGAGCGACACGTCTTTTTGCGGTTTGTGGGCGTTAGAGGGGGCGTGGCACCTTGATAAAATAAACTTGCGCTGCGTAGGAAGCCCAAGAATATGTGTAGGAAATCCCAACCTTCTATCTTTTGTAGTTTCCGAGATCTCAGCGTTCATCCAGACAGACGGACAGACGGACATGGCTAGATAGACTCGGCTATTGGTGCTGATCAAGAATATATATACTTTATGTGGTCAGAAACGTCTCCTTCAGTGCGTTGCAAACTTTTGACTGAAATTATAATACCACTCGAAATTGTATAAAAAAGCCAAAAACTAACTTTTGCGTATTTTTATAGTGTTTGTCACTAAAATAATCAAACTATACTCAACATTTTTAGTTTACCTCAGCATCAACTTTATTAGAAACAAATATCGGGGGAAAATCATGTGGAAATATGTTTTATTCAAAATTTTAGGTTTTTTTGGCTTGTTCGACTTTTTGGTCGAAGTACCCATATATTTAATAATATACAAAGGCTTGAATCTAATCTAATCGTAAAGTTAGATAAGTCGACAAATTAAATCGGTCGTGAAAATGGTAATCCTTAGTTTTCAATTCTGCGTCCTTAGGCAAAGTGGGCTACCTTGAAAAAAATAAGGATGATTGTTGACTCTATGAACTAAATTCATCCTATCGAAAAACAGACAAAACTTTCGAATTTCCATTTCGAAGAATAATAACGGCGATTGGATGAAATCCCTTTCTTTACCTGTTTTCTTAAGACCATTGACAGGCTAATTGAATGCTAATCACAGACCCTAATGATGGTAAACTTCGGTCCTGTAAGTGTACCACCGGGTAAAAATATGTATGCCGGAATTGGGGCAATTGTTGTAGTTCGTGTTCATGACAATGAGCCATTAATTTTGATTACAGGACATCACACCGCCATCGACCCAAGGGGCAGTGCATTAGGATAATTGCCAGAGATTGCTCTGCTCCATTGCAATTTTCTGGCAGAGTTGGGTGGCCAAGGAACCCCTGGCACTTCCTACGTATTTAGTTCCCAGTTGTCGCCGGAGAATGAAGCCTTTGCTGGGCCTCGTACGGATCTGCTTGGTCTACGTATTCGTTGTGGTCTTTACTTTGGTGACAGGCTTCCTGAAGCGCTGCCTGAAACTCAGTCAGTCGCTGGCCATGTAAGGAGTGGGAGTACCAGGAGTTTGGGTTCCAGGAGGTGGGGCTGCAGGGCAAGATATCACTAATCTAGCCCAATGTTTATTCAGTCAGGTAGGAGTGTGAGTTATGAGTAGTGAGTTTCCTGAACTTATCGGACCGGCAATCAATAATGGACGGCCTTATCGCACTCGCACCTTTTGGTAAAGTACTACGTCTATTACTACAGTGGAACTTGGCGTGTATATCGTTTAAAATAGCGTTACGAACGGACTTATTTTATGCATCTTAACAATTTGTCTTTTTTATAAATTTTAAAAGTTTAATTAACTCTTCCATTTAAATCGATACAACACCCGCGCATAGATGTAACGATTAATTAGACCATTTATTATAGAATATAGGGAGGGCCCACTGTAGCTGGAAATACTTGGCGGCTGTTATATGGCCATGTATGGGCACATGTCGATGGCTGCTCGATCGGGTCGGTTGATTTGTGGGTCGCGCGGCGCCCTGTTGCTGCTCCTCCTTATCTTGGTCGGCACCCTGGTCGTCCTCCATAGGGTCGCCCAGTCACCGCTTCTCAATCAGTACGAAATTTTGCAGGATCATTTAGAGCGCCAGCAGATCCAGAGCACTCGATCCACTCGCGTTGTTCTCCTGTGGAACGATTTCTTTGGGGATCCACGATGGAAGCTATCCTGGGATACTCTGGGACCGCAGGAGATGCGGGATGAGCTTCGGTGCCCAGTCTACCAGTGCGAGATTAGCAACCAGCACGAATTCCTGCCCGCCGTAGAGCTCTACGACGCCATTGTCTTCCATGCGGCGGAGATGTATCCGATCCTGCGACCAGTGCCGCTGCAGAGGAGTCCCCACCAGGCCTACGTCTTCGCCTTGATGGAACCGCCCGGGGAGACAAAGCACCGACTGGACGACGAACGGGGGTTCTACAATCTCACCATGACCTATCGCCTTGACTCGGACGTCGTCTGGCCCTACGGGCAGCTCCTGGACATCGAAACGGGTGCAGTGGTGGCCCCCAGTGAAAGGCCACATTGGAGGAAACCCCCGGCGTCTTTTAACGACTCTGTGGTTTGGGATCTCTGGTCCGGGAAAACGAAAACGGCCGCCTGGTTCGTCTCCCATTGTGAAACGCTGTCAAAAAGAGAGATCCTGGCCAATAGGCTCCAGGAGTTCTTAAACGTGGATATTTACGGAAAATGCGGTACCCACAGGTGAGTGGACCAAATACGATACGAATTTTTATTGATGTTTAGTAAGCGAAGAATTACTGACGATTAGGGTATTTCATAAACAGTCGAATTGTTAATTTTCGGTACAAATTTAATTTTTAGAAATGTATCTTATTATTAGCACTACACACAAAAAAAGCACGTCGCCGTAAAATCGATAAGTCCAGGTAATTTTCTGGTTATTCCTACTCATATCGTTTTTACCTGAAATATTCATAAAATTTACATTAAATAATATCATTTTGCCGAATTCTCTCTCTCGGAGATTCTCTAACTTCGAAAAAGAGCGCAGTAATCAACATGGCGAGCAAAATGACATGAGTGGAAGCCAGAAAGACGTATTCGAAATTCGAACTGACGTACTTCAAAAGCATGTTTTCTCGCTCGCACTAGTATAAGTATTGGCCAGGAATAATGAACATTTTTGTTCTTACATTTTCGAACATATCACATTTACCTGGCCCCATATCAAGTTAAAAATGATCTTAAAAAAGGTCAAATTGACCTACGATTCATATCGATTTTATTTGGGTGTAGTTTACAGCCAAAATGCTCCTTGAGAAATAAGTACATATCAGAGCGTGGACTTTATGTTGAATTTTGCCACTAATTAGTAATTAAATCCTATGTAAGTTTGGCGACAAGATAATTTTATTTCAACTATTTCGAACAAAACTGGAAAGTGTTTGGGTAAAGGGTACTACCATGACACATCTTGAAAGTCTTGTAATTCGAAAGTCGACCAAGATGAACCGACCTCAGAGGATAACCTCTAAGAACATAAAGTTTATGTCATAAACTGATATCCAACATAATATTGATATTTTTTAGATGCGCCCGCGGGGATCCGCACTGCGATGAGATGTTGGACACGGACTACTTGTTCTACCTGGCATTTGAGAACTCCTTGTGCGACGACTACGTGACGGAGAAGCTCTTTGACGCCCTGCACCGAAACATAATACCCGTGGTTTTCGGTGGAGCCGACTACTCGCGCATCCTTCCGCCGCACTCGTACATCGATGCCAATCGCTTCGAGACCGTGGCGGGTTTGGCTCAGTACCTGAACTTCGTGGGAGGAGATCCGGCTGAGTATGTCAGCTACTTCTGGTGGCGAAGACACTATCGCTTGGCCTCATCTTCCCCGTTTTGCGACCTCTGCGCCCGGCTCCATGCCCCTGGTTTTGGCTACAAGACGCAGTCCTACGGCGACATACAGTCCTGGTGGTTCAACAGTTGCCGCCTGGAGAGCCAGATTCGGTTGTGACCCACAACTTGTGCGCGGAATAGAAAGGGATGGTTGCCACTACAAACGCACGGTCGGCCACGAAAGAGAGCGAGATGTTATGGGCGGACCTTTCCCCACCATCAGTAGTTTTGGGCCCAAATCAACACTAGTCTGTTCGTTAGCCTTGCCCAGAAATTTGTGTTGAGTACACAACCTGGGAGATAAGATATACAGGTTTCCGATTCGATAGCGGCGCAAAATAACTACGAAATTGGCCTCTAATTGGCATATGACTCACCTGCTAACCAATTTCACTTGCGATTACAATCGGCTGACAGAGGAGCAAAAATAATTTGATAGCACTAGATTTCACGAAAACTTTGGAAAAATTTAAGCAATGCTTACGAACTCGATTATCTTTACTCTTACGGAGAATTTCCATTTTTTAACTGGTAAACTTTGGGATTTGTGATTGTTGGTATCGCATTTAAGAACTGTACAAATTTAAGTATCTTTTTTGTTACATTTTTGAAATGTATTGTGATAAAAAATTGCTATAGTTACTTTTCTTACTTCACTTAGCAATGCAAGAAACCACACACAAAAAAAAAACTTGGTAAAATCAACTGTAATAATTGTCAAACAGGCCCCAACCAGCAAAATTGTCAATTCTACTAAGTAAATAGTCATTTCACAACAACAAAATACACACCATTAGCAAAGACACAAACCCAAAGCAAAAACAAAATACACGTAACTATTTTAATAGTTACGTAACTGTCTTTGTTGGTCAATTTTACCAAGCAAATTTTTTTGTGTGCAACAAAATTATTCTCCTAAATTCATTTGTAAACAAGAAAGGAAGCTGGCTTCGGTCAGCCGAAGCTTATATACCCTTGGAGATAAAGTAAACTCCTATTGCTTATTGCTCACTCGGTGCAGTTCCAGGGATTCCAGATTCAGCGTGCCTATTTAAATTTTGTTTTTAAGTTGTCAAAAATCAAAACGCCTACTTCCTACAAAGTTACAATGAATTTTCTTATATTTGTTTGAATATTCCTATGGGAGCCTTAAGATATAGCGGTTCGATCCGGGTCGCTCCGACATATAAACTACATGCAATAGAAAGAAGACTTTCGGGAAAGTTTCACCGCGTGGGTTGACTTACCCATTCGTGTTGTGGGGCATAATGACCCGCTACCATCAAGAGACATGTACAATCTATTTGCCGAATACTCTTCTATAGCCGGACAGGATAACACTTGATTTTGCTCAGCTAGCAACCAAGCTCGGACCCTTTGCTTTTCGTCTTCGATGAAAGAGCTGACTACTTCGGATTGTTCGAAACGAGGCCACTTTATGTTTCTCAATCGTCTTACACAGAAAAAAAATTGATATGGAATTGCACTCAAGTTAACATTATTTAAAATAAAACCGATATTAATTAATGCAACATTGATATTTCGAACATATCAAGTTGATATTTTCGAGAATATCAAGTTGACATTTTTATACCCGTTACTCGTAGAGTAAAAGGGTATATTGTATTCGTGCAAAAGTATGTAACAGGGAGAAGGAAGCGTTTCCGACCCCATAAAGTATATATATTCTTGAACAGGATCAATAGCCGAGTCGATCTAGCCATGTCCGTCTGTCCGTCTGTCTGTCCGTCTGTCCGTCTGTCCGTCTGTCCGTCTGTCCGTCTGTCCGTCTGTCCGTCTGTCTGTCTGTATGAACGCTGAGATCTCAGAAACTATAAAAGCTAGAAGATTGGCATTTTGCATGCAGATTTTAGGAATTCCTACGCAGCGCAAGTTTGTTTCAAAATGGTGCCACGCCCCCTCTAACGCCCACAATCGCTTATATACGATTTTAAAAATTTTAATATTTTGGAAAAGTAAAAATGCAGTTTTATTGTGTTTATCAATACCTATCGAAATGTAGAAGAAATTTTTCAAATCGGACCATTCGTTAAAAAGTTATGCGTGATCAACGTTTTCTATCTCTATCTCCATCTCCCTCGCACTCCCTTTACCTGAGTAACGGGTATCTGATAGTCGGGGCATCCGACTATAACGTTCCCTCTTGTTTTATATCAATTCAATCTTAAGAAAGATTAATTTTTAAAATAACATTTGAACTTTTTGGTCATCAAAATAATATTTTTCATATACATTTTTGTCATCAAAATGATGTTTTTTATATAATTTTGTTCATCAAAATAATATTTTTTCGTGTATATTAGTACCCTCCCAGTAAAACAAAATTATTATTTTATATTAAAACAATTTAATTCTAATAATTTCACATTTTTTGGAATCGGTATACATATGTATAGGTGGGCCAGCAAAATCTATAATACTTTTCATTTTAAATATGTATATTAGTAGAAGAACCTACTTTATATGTTTGATAATGTTCATTAAATGATATAATGTTGTTATTTGGAAAAATAACGCACAGGTCTTAGGGCCGTTTCCTCGTCCGTACTTTAGTTTGCCTGCCGGGACAACGGAGCGATAAACAAAAAATGGTTTACTCGTTCTTATGTTAGCGCAGGTAGCAACAAATTTTGTCTCGGTACTTCATCCACCGTGCCAAATTTGTGTGGTTGGATTGTGCGCAAGTGTTGCCAGACATTTGAGCGTTGTCAATCTGGTTCCACTCTTCATTCGAAAACAGGTGATTCTATTTACAGTTAAATATAAATCAAAATTGTTAAAGTCATCCAATTGATTTTAAAATGAATTCCCGAGCGATTTATTTTCATACTCTGTGGGATATCGTCGAATTGTCTGAAGGCGAACCTATCGGCACAGATATCAAGACCAAAGAAATTACTTTGTTTGTGAATCGTCACTGTGTAGGAAGTAAGAAAAACAATTTTAAAAATTCCAAAACAATTCACAAAACCGATGAGTGTCTTAAAAATTAAGGACATAAGGTGTCTTTGGATCAAAAATGCATTGTAGAAGAAAATATTTTTATTTAATTTTTAAACGCTGTTCACAAATGAAGATTTTTAAACTTTGCTGTGACTTTAAGATTTGGAATGCGCCCACCTCCTTTTGTGGTTGAGTTAGATTGAATTTTCCAAAACGACCGTATAAAAGAGACATGTAACTATTTAATTCCGAAAATATTACCAAAATTGGTTGACCACTCTTGAAGATATATCCCAAAAGAAGAAGAAAATTTGTGATTTTCTTAAATTAAAGATACCACAAATACCAGAGCTGATGGACTATAGGCGTAGTGGCAGCATATGCTTAGAAAAGCCTCATTTATCGAAATTAAATGGTGGCAGGCCTGGACACCGACCCATGTCACATTTTGTCGGCCTGTGTTATTAATGTTGGATTAATAAATAAAATTTAAAAAATAAGTTCCAAAAAAACAATGTAAACATTGCGGTCCCTGGTTAAAGTTAAGAAGTGGCTTTATTTAGATTTTACTTTAAGTTTACATTCTCTCTTTCCTACAATTTGTATAAAACTTTACATTCCATATATGTAAATTCCAGGAAATTTGGTCCACATTGTCAGGGCTGACAAACGGGTTCAATACGCATGCGTTCAAAATCCAAACCAAATGAAATAACGAAATGTCAAGTGTCAAACAGGAGTGACGTAGATGACAGCTCTCTTGTAGTCTCTCTTTCGCAGAGCTTTTAACGTCTAAGAGCAGCTCAAATCCCGCAGGAGAGACAGGATAGCAATAATCCAGCCTCAGCTGTGTGAGGAAACTTTCCTTAGGGCACAGTGCTTTTTGGAAGCTTTGCCCAAGCTTTGGAAGGATATACCGTTAGTGCTGTCGCAACCGCTACCTCCTCTGCCGACGTCGCTGCTGGCGAAAAGCACTTCCTATGGAATTTTACGACATTTTATTCATTCTGTGCTAGATTTCCCGATAGTTCAAATCAGAGGTAAAGCCCCGGAAGGGAATCGAAACAAAAATACCTGAAATTCGCTATAACTAACACAACGCTGCAGTTTTTAATGTTGGCTCTTTGCTAATTTTAATATATTTCCAAAAGTATTGGGTCCAAAAAGAAGGGGTGAAATACTAATGCCCAGTGAAATTGTGTTTTTTTTTCGTACGAATCAAGTTTTTTATTGAGATAAAAGTGTGTACAAGTGTGAGACGTAAGTTGCATAATTTTCACAAGCCACATAAAATAATCTCGGGAAAAAAGATCAATCTACAATTTTTCAAAGTGGTGAAACCAGACCTACGAAAATATCAAGTTTTGGGGCCCCTATTTTCATACACTCAGTTTGTATGTTTTTACAATTGTATGTAAACGCGCGAGTGTGTGTTTGATGTGGAGGGATTGGGTGCTGTCTCACTTGCACGAATGCGTCGCCTCACTCGCACTTTCCAGAAGTGTGAGTCTCTGAATCATCGATTTTTCCCAACAACACCAATTTGACAGGAGAAGAAGGAGGAAGAGGAAAAATAAGAGGTAGAAAAAGAAAAAAGAAGAACGTTACTACTGCCCCCTTTTTCAGATATAGAAAGCCAAAGAGAGAGAGAGAGCGGCATCGTCCGTATCTTTTCTTCGCTTTTTTGAAACACACATCTGTCTAGCACACTGACCATTACGATTTCGATTAAAAATTTTAAACGGTAATGAACAACTTTAGAACAATTTTGTAACTTCCCTAAATATATCATAAATTTAAAAACTAATTTCAATATCAAGATCAAAAAATCTTTTGTACGGGCAATGTGCCATTTGTGAAAATTAAAGCTGTTAAAGCTTTCGGAAGTGCGTCAACAGAAATCTAAGGACCTTCTGCCGAAACTAAGAACTCAGAAGTTTGTAAAGAAAAATACTTTTCTTCGTTGTTCGAAATTATGATTTTCCTTGCAAAAATATGAAAACAATATAAATGATTGCGAGTTAAAAACGTTAATGAGCTAAATTATAGAATAGAAATACTTTTATTGGGTTCCGTTTTAACAAACTATAAAATTCTTAAAAGACATAAAGTTATTATTGTCGATCTGATTATGACTGCGACCATAGTTTTACAAACTCTGGAAGAAAATGAAGTGCTTACAGTGAAATAAGAATAAACATTTTTTAAAAGATTTGGTTTCCGCCTAGGAATATAAATTTACCAAAGGGATTGCATTAAATTAATTCTATAAAAACTGAGTAACATCCTTTTAAATACAATTATTGACATAAGCGTTCGAAATGTCCTCTAAAGTGAAGGCGTATTAAATCAAAAGAAGCAAATTCAAATTATTTCCTACATTAGATAAATAAATGGCCGCAAAATGTGCTGCCTTGGCCAGTGAAACTTTTCCGCCTCGAAAGTGACTGTGAGTGTCTGTATGTATTGCGCGTAGGGCTCTGAGCTTTGACTGACTCAACTGATGTTGTTGCGTTTCCTTAGTGGTGTGTGCTGGAAAAGCTTTGGCTATTCGGCAAGTTCACGTGTAGGTACACAATCGAGCGCTTTATATATACGTAAATAAATATGTATAAACTTTTACACAGTCGGGGGTTTTGCTGGATTTCCCAAAGGTTTTTCTTAGAACTACGATAACGCGATAACAACTGGAGCATCCGAAATAAAGCATCGGAAAAGGCGGCGGTGAGTGGGCGAGCAAGTCGTTGCATCGCCTAAAAATCCATAAGACCATCAGATTTTAGATATCCTAGTTTCGATACCGGTTCTATTTCGTGAGACGTGCATATCTTACATAATCCCTCGTCTGCTCCTCCCACCCGCAGTTCCAAGACCCCATCCAACTAGAACCAAACTAAATCCTACGTAGCCGCCGTAACCACGTAACCACGTTACCACGTCCACCACCTTCATCTCCAGCTCGATTTTGTTTTCGACCCGGAGTCAGTAAGTTTCACGACCTATTTGCAGACCGATCTCGATGTCTCCGCAATTAGATAATGCTTAAGCTACCAAAGGGCCTAAAAAAGAAAAAGAAGAAGTCGAAAAAGGACCAGGAGCTCTTCACCGAGGAAGAGCTCGAGCAGTACAAGCGCGACCTAAGGGCCAAACAGGAGGCGGCGGCCACCAAATCGGACGCCGGTGAATCCGACGGAGCGGCCTCAGACGTTGAAGCCCACCACGAGCCAGTAGCCAGCAACTCGGGATTGGTATCGGGATCGGGATCGGGATCCGGCTATCACGCACCAGGATCATCCTCTAGTAACTCCCACCAACAGCCGGGAGATCAAAGTCAGGGAGCTGCCGGCGGCGACGAGGAGTGGGCCAAGTTCAAGGCACTCACCTCCGGCGTCGATAGCATCCTACACAAGACCCAGGACGAGCTCGATCGGATCAAGAAGGAGTCCTTCTACCAGCGCCTGCCCTCGGCCGCCGAGAAGAAGAAACAAGAGGAGGAGGAGGCCGCCCGCCTTGAAGCCGAGCGAGAGGAGCGGGAGAGGCAGCGTCTGGGGCAGATCGAGGCTCAGCGGGACAAGCTAGCCGAAGCGGTTGTCCAGCTATCCGAATCGGAGGAGGAGGCCGGCGACTATGAGGCCGATGACATCTTCGCTACCGATTACATTGAGGCCATCACCAGCGGAGAGCTCCAACTAGCCGTTGTCCCGGATTCCCCGGTTCTCGCCGACGACGGACCCGATCCCTTTGACACCGCCTACGCAGAGAAGGTTATTGTTGGCGCCGATCGGGCAAAGGGAAACAAGAAGCTAGTGAGTCTCGGGGCTGCCGTTGAGGTGCTATCTGGTCGCGTGGACCGCGAGCACGCCGTTGCATTAGCGAATCCCAAGCGTAAATTGCGGAAGGGCATCCAGAATCTCCTGCTCAGCGAGAGCGTAGAGCTAGCCGATCCGGAGGCGGATCTTCTGGCCGCCGCGGCCAACGCCGAGCCGCAGCATAATCTACTCGACGATCTCGACGAGGAACTGCCCGAGTCCTCGGCCCCCATAGATCTCAGTGTTTCGTTGCATTTGCACCTAATAAAACCCAAGCCCGTCGAGGAGGAGGAGGAGCAGGAGCAGCAGGATCTGGGAAATCAGCTGCTCAACCCGGATCTATTCGAGTTCGATGCCCTCAAGGACGAGGAGGACGACGAGTTTGCTGAACTAGCCGCCGAGTCACTGACGAAAAAGGAGGAGGTCACTGTCGTCAGCAAGGTTGCTCTGCCCGTCGAGGAACTGCCAACTGAAGCGTTTGGAGAAGGCAGCTGGGCTGAATTTGAAGCTCAGCCGGAACAAGAAACAGGTGAGGGTTCCTACCAATTTTCTTTCTGCACCACGGACTCGTGAGAAAAGTAGAAAAGTCAAATGACGCCTCTATCGCTCAATCAGATTATCCGTTAAAAAAACTACTTAATAAACAATATTTTAATGCTTATCTAGCTTACTGCGTGCATAAAATCGCTGATTTAAGCGTTCATAAAAATATCTTTGGTATAAAAATATACACATGACACGAAATTTTTGAAAAAATAGGGACCTTGTAAAATTTATGTTTTTGTTTACAATAATTTTTCAGAAAAAAATTAGTTTTAAATCATCTTTATAATTTTAAATCGGTTTCTTTGGCACTGAAATTGGAACTTCGGTTGGAAGAGAAGAATTCCTATATATATATGCCATTTATATTAGGCAGATTTGTATAAAAATATACCAATAACAGTTTTACGTCTAATTGCATTCGTATTACATTCATATATTTTCTTAAGTTTCGATAGACGATCCCAATATGTATTGGTCATACCTGCATCAATTAGTAAAATATATTTATGACAAATATTTTTTTTAATTTCAGTTAAGTATTATAATTAAGTATTTTCCCAGCATTTTATTAGATTAAATAACAACATCATACTGTATTAAAAGAGAACAACAAATTTGGCACACATTTTTATAAACTAAAAAAATCGTGTCCAGAGGTTAATATTTTTTACTTTTCAATTTTTATTTGTTAAGAGAAAAACTAAATTTATTGTTAAAACACAGATTTTTAAGTTTGAATAGCCAAACAAAATTCTTAAACAGAATCAACCACTAATCATTTTATTGCCGTTCATCATTTGGAGCCATTTATTTATATTATTGATTTTCCTAACCAATCAATTTATATATTTTTTTATCCCTAGGAAAGCCCAAGCGTCCGCCACCACCAGTCCGTCCGCCTACAGGACCCCACATCGTGCCCGGTGCAATTTACGTTTCAGACGACGAGGAGGAAAATCCTGACGACGATCCTTTTAACACAAACTACGCCGAACAGGTGATCAAGAAGACCACCGTACTCGAGGAAGACGACGACTTCGACCCACGTGCCGAGGAGGAACCGGCCACTGGGTCAGCCTCTCTAGCGGCTCCAACCCGCGATCTTCTTGCTGGCAGTGCTACCGATCTCAGCCAGGTGGTTCCCGCGCCCTTGGCACCTACTTTAAGTGTCGACCAGGATCCAGAGGACTTCGATCCCTTCGACACCTCAGCCATATCGGCTTTGGTGCAGCCCAAGGCCACGGAACTACGCTTTTTGGAGCGCGAGCTGCTTAACCAGTCCAGCGCAGGAGGAGTCACTATCAAGCACTCCCTGAGCGATCCGGACTTTGATCCACGAGCGGATCAGGAAACGCCAGCGGAGCCGCAAGTGAAAGTAGAACAAATACAGACGGATTTCGACACCGCCCGGCGAAAGTCCTCCTTGAGTCTGAACATACAGGCCAAGACTGTGGGCTTTCTGGTGCCGGCAGCGGATCTGCTCGGAGCGGGTAATGAGTTGGGGGCGAATAAGAAGCCATTAACGCCATACTACGCACCAACTGGCAATCCTTTGCAGGAGCGAGAGCGCGAAGCCGAAGACGTTGATCCCTTCGACACGTCATACGTGCCCGAGGCGAAGCTTAGCGATATAGAGCTGAAGCATATAGAAAAGGACCTGATTTCTGAACCTTCCAATCTGCGGCACAGCCTCTCCGACCCCGATTTCGATCCTCGGGCTCCACCCACTCCGGTTCCCGCCGAAGTCTTGTTGGCCGTCGAGGAGAATATCGACATCAAGGTCTTGACACCCGCCCAGGAGCGTAAGAAGCTAACCAATTCCGTCGGAGCAGCCGATTCGGAGGAGGACATTGATCCCTTTGACACCTCCATAGCGGCGAATCTCCGACCGGGTCAGACGGAACTGAAGCTTTTGGAAAACGAACTTCTGCCGGAGACAAGGACGTCGGTAACCGACGTCCTAGACGTTCAGAGCGACGCTCAGGAGTTGGGTTTTGGCGATAAGGTACTCACACCCTCGACGCACTCGAGACCTGCCCTTCCCGCTCACAATCTTGATCCGTTTGACACTTCCATTGCGGAGAATCTTGTGCCCGGCGAGACAGAGATCAAACTGCTCGAAAGCGAACTGATTGAGCGCTAAGTCTAGATAGTCTAAATATTATACAAAAAAAAAAAAACAGCTGAAATCATGGCCAATCCCTTTTTGATGGACGACGACCTGGATGGCGGAGACATGACCGCCAATCCATTTCTTATGCAATCTGAACCTGAACCTAGTACGGATAATCCCTTCGGAGCAGGTATGTACCGACACACATAGTTATTAGGTTTGCGATATTAAGGGTTTTCTTATCATTTGGTCCTTACTACATAAATTCGAATATGCTTTCAAAAAAATACAAAAACAGACGATTTTACACATTATACAAATAGCCATCTGATCTTAAAATCATTCTGGAACACTTTTGATTACAATTCACTTTTCATGGGGACGTAAACATACTATTACTAAAATAGGTCAAATATTCTAGCAAATGTATAAGTACAGTAAAAGTAAGTTCATCCCAAAACTCTTAATAATGCTGGGTATTGTCTTTATCCTAGCGTGGAAGTGAATTATAAAACGATTTCCGAAACATATATACCATGTATAATATATACATTGTAAATATGCTTTATAGTGATGAAGTGACGATGAAAAGTAGATGTTCAGATTTTTTCCCTAATGCAGTTGGGACTGTTTGTAAGTTGGGACACCCCATTTTCTCAAAACTTTTCCACTTTTAAAATACAGGGCGGCAACATTACTACTATTTTAACCACAGCTGTATACTTTTATGTTTTTTGACTATTTTTTATAGAATTTTTTTCTCTTAAATAAAATCCTAAAATTATTCTAAGTATGGGGTTTGAAAGATAAAAAGTGTATCTTTTAAAAAATGTTAACATCAAAACAAACCATGAATCCGTTTGCCTCTGAGACCTCCGGAAAGTTGCCCAATTTCAGCATTTTTCGAACTTTAAGGTCCTTCAGCTAAGAATCCTTGCGTCCGGGAACTTTTTGGAAAACGCAGTTTAACTTGGGATTTCGTAACGAATTCAAAAATATAGCATCCGTCGAGGTAAATTTACAAAACATTCATTTTGTTGCACAGTGCAATCGTTATATTTTATAAATTATTTTTGGATTTTGTAACCAAATGAATAACACAACTACAGACCTAATTATACCCGTTACTCGTAGAGTAAAAGGGTATATTAGATTCGTGCAAAAGTATGTAACAGGTAGAAGGAAGCGTTTCCGACCCTATAAACTATATATATTCTTGATCGGGATCACTAGCCGAGTCGATCTAGCCATGTCCGTCTGTCCGTCTGTCCGTCTGTCCGTCTGTCCGTCTGTCCGTCTGTCCGTCTGTCTGTCCGTCTGTCTGTCTGTATGAACGCTGAGATCTCGGAAACTATAAAAGCTAGAAGATTGACATTTTGCATGCAGATTCTAGGAGTTCCTACGCAGCGCAAGTTTGTTTCAAAAGGGTGCCACGCCCCCTCTAACGCCCACAATCGCTAATATACGATTTTAAAAATTTCAATATTTTGGAAAAGTAAAAATGCAGTTTTATTGTGTTTATCAATACCTATCGAAATGTAGAAGAAATTTTTTATATCGGACCATTCGTTAAAAAGTTACGGCGGATCAAAGTTTTCTATTTTTATCTCCATCTCCCTCGCACTCCCTTTAGCTGAGTAACGGGTATCTGATAGTCGGGGCACCCGACTATAGCGTTCTCTCTTGTTTTACTTAAGTTTATTACATTAATTAAAAGAGAATGGGACAAAATATGGCATTTGACTCCTAAAATTAAAAAATTATATTATGGAAATTTTACCATAACTTAAATGACAAATTTTTGCAAGAATTGATCGAGTATAGAAACTGGAAAACACCTTCATAAGCTTTTTAACACTTTCTTTTAGCTACTGGAGCTTCAAATCCCTTTGCCTTTGGTGGCGATGATCTCGAAACGGGTGCGGAACCAGAGGCGGAAGCAGCCCATGATAGTGATCTCGATCCGGCGATGAGTTTCTTTGGGACCACGATCGAGGCGGAGGACGATGCGTTGAGTCTGAAATCGGGTGCTGAGGAGGAAGACGAGGGCGGCAAGAAACCGGCCCAAGCACAGCAACATGCACACCCGCCTCCGCCACGCCCCCAGGCTCCTCCACAGAGCACCCAAGATCTAATCAGCACGGTGTCCAATCAGCTGGAGGAGACCAGTTCGGAGCTACTTGGTCGCATACCCGCAACCCGATCTCCGAGTCCAGTTTCGATGCGGGATCTGCACTCGCCAAGCCCCACTCCGGATTCGGGACTAGCTGATCTTCTTGATGTGTCGGTGGACAGTGGTTCGAGTGCCCATACTCAGGGCATGGATGTGGACTTGATTGGGGGCGTTGCAGGTGGTGTGCCCTTGGACAATCCATTTGCAGTGCCGACGGCGGTGCCGAATATACAGGCGGCAGCACCGCTGCCAGCCACGCCTGTGAAGCAGCCCCCACGCCCACCACCACCTCGTCCTGCTCCACCACGTCCCGCGCCCCCAGGTCAGATGGCGCCCCAAAGACCTCCGCCACCGGTTGCCGCAGCTGCTCCAGCCGCCGCAGAAGCGGATGACCTGCTGGACATGTTCGGCACTACGTCGAGCAAGCCGGTCAAGCCACCACCACCCAAGTCTAAGGAGGACATACTAAGTCTCTTCGAGCAACCACAAGCACCGCCAGCACCCAAACCGGATTTACTGCATGACGATCTGCCCGAGGCGAAGGCGGAGGATGTGCCGCCCGGACAAGACGAGCCGGACGAAGGGGAGGGGGATGGGACCACCTCGCGGGATGAGCCGGTATTCACCTCCCTGCTGATACGACCAGACGAGAGTACACATGACATAACCTCCCAACCGCAGGCGGCTACGGGACTGGAACGGCAGGCGAATCACATGGCGGCGCCCCCGGAAACGGCCAGCAGACAGAGGGCGCCCACGCCGGATATCGAGATAACCACGGTGGAGGATCTGCCGCGTTCCGATGACGAGGACGAGGACGAGAGGGATGTTAAACAGGAACCGGAAGTCGAGGCAGAGCCACAAATTGAACCGGAAACGGAGCCCGAGATCATCTCTGATCACAGTCCGCCAACGGAATCGTTTGTTACCACCCAGATGGCTCTCGCTAATGATGAACCTCTAACTAGCGAGCCCGAGCCGGAGCAAATGGACACCGGTCTCGACTTTCCGCTGGCCACCAGTGACCTGGCCAGTGGCCAACTGTCCGCCAACCCCTTCGCCAGCCCCGAGGAGGAGGAAGAGCCGAGCTTCGCGCCCGTTCCAGCGGTGGTGGCCAATATCTTTGCCGTGGACGATTTGGAACCTGAAGTGGAGCCTCCGACGACGGAAGTGGCGCCCAGCTATACGGCAAACATCTTTGCCGCTGAGCCGGACGAATTCGACGCCTTCTCGGCCAAGTTCGACTCAGTGAAGAAGGACAATATTAGCATACTGGAAGGTTTTGGAGGATCCGGAGCCATAACGCCCACGGGCGGAGACGGTAAGTTTTATTACACGAAATTGGTAAAACAATTTCGAGTAGAAGCACTTACTGATTAAAGAATAATGCAGAAAAAAGACAGCCTCTATCGTTGTAGTTTAATTATTGAAACTTATTCCTATTTTTTAAAGTTCCTCGTCTTCTTGCCTAGCACTAAAAGCAAATGCTTAGCCTAGCGAAAGTCTCATCTAAAACCTTATCTCATAATATTTTTATTTAGGCCTATGTCTGCATTGTAATCTTTAACAAATCACTTCACCTTTGTAGGCTTCTGTAATACAGATCTAATTTATGGATGTAAGACAACTTACATAATTACATGTGCATATTTATATAAATATATAAGAAACAATTTTATCGTCAGTTTTCTTCAACGATTTTATAAAAAAAAAAATAAAAAAATATTTCATTTTGGCAAGAAAGGTGACTTCAAACTACCCAAATATATGGAGACTTCTACTGCTCAAACTTGCAGTGTTACTCCTTGATGTTTAAAGGTACCTACACTTAAAAAAACGAGCATCTTCAACAAACTATCATCGACTCTTCACTATTTTTGCCCCACACCCTCCTATGAGGCTATATTTTGAGAACAAAAACTCTCAATTTGATTCAAATGTTTATGGTTAATTTCCTTGTTGGGATTTACCATACAGATTCAAGGGGTTCCTACGAAGAGCAAGTTTGTTTTAGCTGAGCGCCACTTTGAATTAAATTTAACAAGATTGGAATCGGATCAAAAAATTAATGCCAAAATAATATGAAAGCAGCTAAAATTTAGATTTTTGTAACATATACGCAAGTAAATTCAAATTTAATGTTTTTGCAATGATCTGCAAAGGTATATATGTAAGTGTCGGTTGTCCGAAGCTAGCTTCTTTTCTTGTTTTTAATGGGTTAAGGCCCGATTTCTTTTGTCGTTAGGTAAAATTGCTATTTTAGAAACATTCAGTTACTCAGTAATTTAATGCTCGATTTCACAATAATCTCCTATGAAAAGTTTCAGGGTGGTTGCACCAAGTGAAGTTTTTTTTGGGGGTTCTTAGGTTATCTTGTTTATCTTATCAACAATTCATATATTTTCTGGTCCGAGTGCGACCCCTTAATTATTACATTGTAATTTTCAATGTACCCAAAATATGTTGAATTTTTTCGGTATTTTGGATGTACTGATACCTGCAGCCAGTTCCATAAAAAAAGTTTAAATTTTTATTGCGGGCAACAAGAGCTAAACATTTGTGTTTATAGAACTTTAATTTCACCCAAGTTTCGTCCGAAAAAATGTCTGTGTCTGTACTTAAAAATGTCTTAAAAAATACAAAAATAATTACTCTAATAAGCCATTAGTTTGTGATCGACCTTTTTCGCTCATTTTGTTAAATTGTGACTTTTATTTCTTAGTCAAATAAATAATTATTTACGGCCCCTGCTAAAAGCACCCAAGCAAAGGAAATATTCTAGTTAAATTTATATAATTGTACACTTTTGAGAACCGATGTACTCCCTTTTGCAGCTTGGGGGGACAGTGCTTTTGGATCGGCCACAATCTCAGCTAATGCCTTTGGCGACACCAACTCGGCGGACGATGGGTTCGGCAATGAGGACGACGACTTCTACGCGATGCAGGCACCAGCACGCGCGGATTCCGTGGAATCGGTAGACAAGGAGTTTAGCGTGGTTATCCGCCCGAAGGCGGAGGGAAGTGGTGGAGTGGCCCCCCAACTGGCGCCACCGCCACCGCCGGCGCGGGCCGCCAACCAGGCACAGACCACATCACCGCCCGGCTCAACCGTAAATCCCTTCGAGGATGTCAGTGGCTTCCCGGCTCCTGGGCCACCACCAACCGATGGAAGCGCCATGAAACGCACGGACTCGCAGGACACGCCACAGACACCACTCTATGACGAGGATGTGTCGCAGCCACTGGAGGAGTTTCCGCGACTCCATTATGTGGGACCCGGCTGGGAGATGCAGCTGCGTCAGCCCAACAAGAAGAAGATCACCGGACAGCGCTTCTGGAAGAAGATCTTCGTCCGCCTGGTGGTGCAGAACGACGTGCCGGTGGTGCAGCTGCTCAACCAGGCGGGCGACAAGCAGCCCTTCCAGGAACTGCCATTGCAACCCTCGTATTCCGTGTCGGAGATCGGGGCCCAGCAGTACGATCAGTTCGGCAAGATATTCACCATGAAGCTGCAGTACATTTTCTACAAGGAGCGACCCGGGGTGAGACCCGGCCAGGTGACCAAGGCGGAGCGGATCACCAACAAGCTGACCAAGTTCGCACAATACGCCATCGCTGGCGACTACGAGGGCGTCAAGGAGTTTGGCAGCGATCTGAAGAAACTGGGCCTGCCCGTGGAGCATGCCCCGCAGTCGTCGCAGCTCTTCAAGATCGGATCGATGAACTACGAGGACATGAAGCAGTTCTCCGTTTGCATCGAGGAAGCGCTGTTCAAACTGCCCGCCCTGCGGGAACGAGCATTGACCTACAAAATGGAGGAGGTTCAAGTGACCGCCGTGGATGAGATCACTGTGGAGCAGGACTTCGAGGGGAAGATCCTTAAGCAGATTGCCCGGGTGCGACTATTCTTCCTCGCCTTCCTCACCGGCATGCCCACCATTGAGTTGGGCGTGAACGATATGTGGCGGCAGGGGAAGGAGGTCGTCGGCCGGCACGACATCATCCCGGTGGCCACCGAGGAGTGGATCCGGCTCGAGGCAGTTGAGTTTCACAGTGTGGTTAATCAGCAGGAGTACGAGAGAACGCGCACCATCAAGTGAGTAGAAATCAATGTGGATTAGGAGCGGCATTATTTTTGGGACAAGGCCATTTATTATTAACAAAAGAACATTGAACCACTACAAATAATGATGCAAATTTCCTGCAGATTCCAACCGCCCGATGCCAACTACATTGAACTGCTGCGCTTCCGTGTGCGTCCGCCCAAGAATCGCGAACTTCCGTTGCAGCTCAAGGCCACCTGGTGTGTCACCGGCAACAAGGTGGAGCTGCGGGCCGACATCCTGGTGCCGGGATTCACCTCCCGCAAGCTGGGCCAAATCCCCTGCGAGGATGTCTCGGTGCGCTTCCCCATTCCCGAGTGCTGGATTTACTTGTTCCGCGTGGAGAAGCACTTCAGGTGGGAGAGTTTGTGGATATTTAATGTCATACATACATTTACTTGTGGGCTAAAACAGATATGGATCAGTCAAGTCGGCACATCGGCGAACTGGCAAGATTAAGGGAATCGAGCGGATACTGGGTGCCGTGGACACGCTGCAGGAGTCGCTGATCGAGGTGACCTCCGGACAGGCCAAGTACGAGCATCATCATCGGGCCATTGTGTGGCGTTGTCCCCGTTTGCCCAAGGAGGGTCAGGGTGAGTTTTAATTCAGAAATGCAAAATAATCATTTTTCGGTATGTACTACATGCATATGTATGTACTTTTATATGTACATATTTACATTAAATTAAATTAAATTTATTTTTTTAGTATCCCAGCGCTACAAGTGCACACTTTTAATTATGGCGCTAGTCACATGGATTTGATATTTATAGCTTATTATTATTTTTAAAATATTTAAACAACTTTCCTCACCTACTTACTTAATTACTAACATCAAATATTTTGTAGTTTTCAAATTACTAGTATATTATTGTATTTTTTTTTTTTTTTAATAGTTTTTTAGTTTATTTTTTTTTTTATTTTATTTTTATATATTATTATTGTATTTTATTGTTATTTTTAATGTGATTGCCATACTTTAACCTCGATCCCTCTTCCCGTTAGGTGCTTATACCACGCATCAGCTGGTCTGCCGTATGGCCCTTACTTCGTATGACCAGATCCCAAGCGAACTGGCGCCATACGCATTCGTGGAGTTCACTATGCCCGCCACGCAGGTCTCGCATACCACCGTGCGCTCCGTGAGTGTGCAGGATTCGGATGCCGACGAGCCGCCGGAGAAGTACGTCCGCTACTTGGCACGGCACGAGTACAAGTGAGTAGTGATCCATTAACCATTCTATTCTATTGGAACATTTCGCTAAGTGAGCATTACTTTACACACGCGCATAGAAAAAAGCGAATGTGAAAATAAATTGTGTGTGAAAGTGATTCGCCTCAAACGATTATGGGTATCGATATTTCATTAGTTTTTAAAGGGCTACCTTTTTATACCCTTGCAGAGGGTATTATAATTTCAGTCAGATGTTTGCAACGCAGTGAAGGAGACCTTTCCGACCACATAAAGTATATTCTTGATCAGCATCACTAGACGAATCGATCTAGCCATGTCCGTCTGTCCGTCTGTCTGTCCGTTTCTACACAATCTAGTTTCTCAGTTTTGAAGCTATCGGGTTGAAACTTTTCCAAAAGTCTTCTTTCTATTGCAATATAGAAACCAGCCGGGTCGGACATCTATATCCTATAGCTCCCATAGGAATAGTCGGAAAAATGATGGGTAAAAAATTATAGCCTCGGTGTTTTTTGAAATATTACCTTCTACTTTTGTATACAATGTTTTTTATATATTTCTGAATTTCGGATAAAATTAAAAAAAAAAAGCGGACGACTATATCATATAGCTGCCAGGGGAACGATTGGAAAATTAATGGGAAAATAATAGGAAAAAAATTACAGCTTATTTGGTTTTTATTGTATTCTCTCCTACTCTAGGAAAGAATACCGAATTTCCGAATTTCAAATTAAATTGAACAAAAATCGGACAACTTTATTATATAGCTACCATAGGAAGGTCAGAAAAAATATCCATTTGAGGTTTAACTGTAGGAATGTACATTTTGCATTATTCATTTAATTAAAAGGCATAATTTATAGATAATATATGAAATTAGAAAAACCGAATTGTTAAAATTGTTGAAAAAATATTATATTAACTTCTTTCAATTTGATACCTACTTATTTAATCAATAAATTCCAAATATTAATTAGTTCCCTTTGAAATAAATTAATAACATATTAAAATATGTATTGGAAACGTTCGACACTTTGCATAGACTCTCTTGCAATCTCTCTCTCGCAATCGGGCGATAAAAACTGTACAGATACTGACGTACAATTTTTTCCTTCCAGGGTTGGCATCGAGACCACGCACGGCGAGTCCACGAACGCGTATCTGGCGGCAACGCGTCCCATTCGCGAGGAGCCGCCCAGCACGGCCACCAAGCCAACTGCATCCCCGGTTCCGCCTAGCGATTCGGACTCCGACTCCAACTAAGGTGGCAAATCCAAATAACCGAGGGAATTGAACGGCAGTACACCCAAGCAGCTTTCTGTAGATATTCCACGTGCATGGTTTTCCCAATCGTTCTTGTTAAATACCTATTATATAATACACATAGATGTATCTGTCCCCTAATATATATTTTCGTGTTCGTCTGCCGCAATTTCCCCCTTTAGCTTTTGCAGCGTGTTCATCGCGTTGGGTTTAGGTAAATATTAGTTGACAATAATGTTAAGTGCAGGAACTGAAGAGTGCGAGGATTACGAAGCAGACGATAGGATGAACACTGTGTAAAAAGCCAAATAAGTGAGGACCGAGACGAAGCTGGTGGATCTGTGGACACGTCACTGGAGGAGAAGATAGCTAAAGCGTCTTAAGAACCCTACAAACCCGCAGCCACAGCCATAATCACATAACCTAACCTAGCCTCCCCTAAAACGAAAACAAAATTGCGTTACTTGTAGCCATACGATCACGTTAAAGTTAATTGATATCAGACCAGATCGTACGTAAAGTCAACCCATACATATGCATAGGGATAATTGTTATAATCTCAAACATACACACACGAAGCATATATATTCAATAACTGATGTAATCTGAACTAGGCATTAAGCCAGGGAAATTAAAAGCAATTTCCCCATGCAGCATTCCAAAAAGGCTCAAATGCACATAGGGGTAACACAACTATAACGAGCTGCCAGCCTTACATAAGATTAACCAACGCTGGCTCCAGCAGCCAACTTCGCATATTGTTAACCAAATGTTGATGGCTGGAAAAAGGTAAAGACGCCAGTTTCGCATAGGTTAATTAACACTGGAGTGAGCTGCTAGCTTTACACAAAGTCAATCTAGCTGGTCAGACTACATAGTGTGGGAAGTTTAACGTAAAACTATCTATAGCCATCAGATACACTTTAAGCTTATGTATACCATTGATTTAACGATACATTTATAGATGAATTCAAAACTCCAAGCGAAAGCTAAACATAACCGGAAATGCATATTCAAATGTTATTGTTGTGAATCAAATTAAATTATATTCAAACTAAACTAAAAAGTAAAGGAAAACAATATAGGCAAATCATCTTTGTTATCGCAAAAAGTAAACTAAAGTGTATGAGGAAACCAAAAAAAAAATCTAACTTAAACTTAACGAAGATGTTCATAACTACGTAGGTCATTCCACGTCAAACATGGCACACAACTTGAGGCACCTCTTGGAAAAAATACGAAACAATTTTTTTCCTATTAGGGATTAAAAAAAAACATCATGTTAATTTTCTTTGTATTCCGGCGTACAGACAAAACTACATAATTTTTAATATAAAAAAATATATTTTAATACTCTAATTGACTTCTGTGTGCAACTTTTAAATAAATTATTTACGCAAGCCTTAAGTTTATTTTTATTTCATAAGAAAGAGCTTTTAACTTTGAACCCCGCCAATAAATGAAATAAAAAAATATCGTATACAGATTGTAAAGTAGCCTCCTCTGTCGTAAAAAAATTTGTTTTCAATTAAAGTGGGGACCTCAAATTGCACTCCATGTTCGACGTTTAAAGACCCATATGCCATAACTATTGATATTAATTAATAACTGATTGATTGATTGCGTTTAATAGGAAGATTGCATAAAACTAGATTTGTTAATTGTGCGTGTTAAATGAATATATTCTATGATCCCAGCTTAACCACCTCATAAAACGTTTGCCTTTCTAGATTTCTTATTCACTCCATAACTCCAAATCAACATATATTCCATGTCAGACAGCTATCCTACGAACACTTAAAACGACTTGCAATGGAATCACGGTTAAGTGTTGATAGAGAATGTGTATATTGTACCCCTAAGAAGCGATTCTTCATTCATGTATTATGTATGTTACATTATTTACCTACGTTTAATTATACAAATATTATATATCGTCTATAACATATGTATTGTATGTACAATAAAAAGAAAAATCATGTAAACAGACCGATCGGTTGACAAACACTCTCACATGTTATATTTATAAATTAATTATACAAAAATCGACGGTGCCGATGCAATATATACTCCCGATCCGTTTCGGATTGAGAGCATATACTGCGCTGGGATTGATCGTTATTATACAAATATGCGGCGAAAGCTAATGGTATTAACCGATAAACTAAATTCAATGTAATGAATTATTATGAACCGAACAAAAAAAAAACGCATTATGATGGAACATTATCTAGTCAAATGAGAAAATAAATATTGAGACAACAAATATTAAGCAATGCAAACTCCTTGTTTTTAATAAGATATTGGGATGATCTTTACTTCTGGTGTATTTTACCTCAATTTATGAGCTGATTTATTATCTTTTTTTATCAAAATATTTTGAAATAATTGTTTAAAAATAATTCACGATATTCGCGTATAAATATAAATATCGCGAAGTATTTTTAAACAATTATTTTGAAAGTCGAGTACTTCGACTATCAGATACCCGTCATTCAGCTAAAGGGAGTGCGAGGCAGATGAAGATATGCAATCGTCAAAGCTACTGACTCCATCTAGCGGCCATTTATTATACCCTTGCAGAGGGCAGTGAAGGAGGCGTTTCCGACCATATAAAGTATATATATTCTTGATCAGGATCACTAGCCGAGTCGATCTAGCCATGTCCGTCTGTCTGTCTGTCTGGATGAACGCTGAGATCTCGGAAACTACAAAAGACAGAAGGTTGGTATTTCCTACACATTTTCTTGGGCTTCCTACGCAGCGCAAGTTTATTTGATCAAGGTGCCACGCCCCCTCTAACGCCCACAAACCGCAAAAAGCCGTGTCGCCCACAGTTTTGTGTATGAATAGTACCAATTCCGTGCCATAGATGGCGCGTCGCCGCGTGCTCAACACTCCTGCTGGTGCTGAAAAAAGCTGGTCACTCTAACTTGGAATATGTGAGTGCAAAATGTAAATTATTTGAAATGGGGCGCGCGAAAAACATACAAGAAGGCATATTTATATTAAAGTTGTTAAGCTGAGTAACGGGTATTTAATAGTCGAGGAACTCGACTATAGAGTTCTCTCTAGTTTAAAAATAAAGCGCTGCGAACAATTACAAATGCGCCGTGGTACGTCAGAAACGTCGACCTGGCTAACGACCTCCACATGCCCTCTGTCAGGGACCAGATAAACCGGCACTCCAGTCGGTATAACGACCGCCCCACAGGACACCCCAACCACCTAGCAGCTTCCTTGGCCAACCCGATGAACAGGAGACGGCTAAAGCGAAGGCACCCCGGCGATCTCTGGACAAGAGGACGTCATGTCTCACATGTCCTGAAGCAGTAATGCGCTTTTTGTATTGTTGTTTTAGTTTTCTATTATAAGTTATAAGATTTGTTACTCGCCATCCTGTTATGTTTTCAAGTTATTTGTTCCTATTTGTGCTATACGTTTTATAGCCATTAATTTGGCTGATCAATGTAAAATTATATGAGTTACACTAAAAAAAAAAAAAAACGAGTAACTGGTATAAAAATTTTAATTAACACTTTGAAATGATTGTGAGTGTTAATTGGAAAAAAACTTGACTGTAATTTGTTGAATAGTGTAAGGCGGGAGCGCAATAAAGCTTTAATCGCGCTCGCGAATTCGCCCCGTCTCTCGCCCCTTCGTTAGGTTAGGCTTAAGCGTTTTTACAATGAAGTTAAAGAGTTAGTTGTCATATGATATTCATTAAGCAAGCTCCCTTTCGTCATCGAATAATAGTCTAGTCACACTGTGTGGGGTAACCTATCGAGTGAGCCAATAACCCGATTACTCCAAAAAAGTGTTTCCACTTGGTTAACTCCAAATATCGAGTAATGACATCTAGTGTTTGTTGTTTGTGTTGTTCATTTGACTAGAAATGGACCTTCAACGATAGGAAATAAATACAAAATATACTGAAATATACAAAAAAATACTCCGAAATACCAAAGACCCTAAAAGTACCCCACTTTTGCCCACATCTAGTTGCCTATACACATCCTATGTAAAAAAAACAGGGTTATGTCAATAACCCCATAACTCCATAACTCCACCCCAGTGTAAATAGACTATTAAATCCCGTATTTTCCCTGCAATCACAAGTTTTTCGCGTTCTTAATACAAAATAATTTTAAATTTTCAATCATTAAAATTAATTGGATTTTTTGATATAAAATATGCAAAATAAGATTTTAATTAAATTTTTAACTTTTTTATTTCTAAGAAGAAATAGGTGTGTGTGTGTATAAATGAAGAGAAGACGGTGTGTTGTATTTTCCAAATATATTTCCAGGTCTTTATTCTGTTGTTCGTGTGTTCAAGTTTTGTGTGTGTGGTTTTTACAAAGTATTGACAAAGAGTCAAGTCATGGCCTTGATGAGACCAGATCTTACTTATAAAAAAACTTAAATTTATCGTAAGGAAAAAAAATACTAAAAATAAGCTAGACCAGGCGTAGACATTCCGCTCGCCTTGCAATATACTTCAAATTGCAAAAGGAAGTCTTCAATGACTAGGAGCACCGTATGCATTATTGTGCACAAGTACCGGATAGCTTCCATCCTAGAACAGTATTCTGCGCCACCAGACGCCCACTCGGACTCGGCAATAGTCCTGGCTGGATCGCTCCTTCCTGCGATAAAGGTGGAGCAGGGTGTGATGATCACTGCCACACACTTGGCAACGGCACTTGCTTCGACAAGCCCCCCTCTGGTGTGCCAGGCAAATGGGACAGTATTTATTGATTAACACTGCCCGCATACGACGCTCCGCATTCAACCGTAGGAAACGAGTAGAGGATGTATTCTTGTGCAGACTCGGCATCGGAACGATTTAGTTTCTTGAGAACATCTGAACGGCATTGTCCGATGACGTAAAGGAAAAAAAGTAGCGAAAAATAGTACTGAAGACTGAAGGAAAACAAGAAAGGAAGCTAGCTTCGGCCAGCCGAAGCTTATATACCCTTGCAGATAATTTCTATTAATTTACAAATCGCAAAAATGTTAATTTCCTATTATTTCTCATTAATTTTGCGTTCGTTTCAATGGCAGCTATATGATATAGTAGTTCAATTTTGATAAAATTAAAATCGAAATTGGAAAATATTTGAAAAGAGTTATACCCTAGAGTAGAAGAGAATACAATAAAAACCAACGAAGCAATAATTTATTTCCTATCATATTCCCATTAATTTTCCAAACGTTCCTATGGCAGCTATATGATATAGTCGTCCGATTTTGAAAAAATTGTATTCAAAATTCAGAATTAGATAAAAAATGGCATTTCCAAAAGTATGATGTTATAGGTTCAAAAACACCAAAGATATAATTTTTTTACATTTTTTTCCCGATTGTTCCTATGAGAGCTATAAGATATAGTTGTCCGATCCGGCTCGTTCCGACTTATATACTACCTGCAACAGAAAGAAGACTTTTGGGAAAGTTTCATTTCGATAGCTCAAAAACTGAGAGACTAGTTTGCGTAGAAACAGACGGACAGACGGACATGGCTAGATCGACTCGTCTAGTGATGCTGATCAAGAATATATATAATTTCACTGCGTTGCAAACTTCTGACTGAAATCATAATACCCTCTGCAAGGGTATAAAAACTTAATTTAAAGGCACGGGAACTTATGACCTTCATTACATATTTCCCTTCAATGGTGGGGGACTTAGTACCATACGATGACACGGTATGGAAATTTGTAATGAATTTATTAAAGGTTATAGATACTGTTACATATTCTGAGTACACGACAGCAGATTTAAAGTCTTTAAAAGAATGTATACAGTTTCACAACAGGGAATACACCGTTTTGTTTAATGATTCGCTTAAGCCGAAACATCATTTTCTGAAGCATTACTTTCAAATCGTTCGAGAGTCAGGGCCAGTCAAGTACTTATGGACATTTCCATTTGAAGCAAATCATAAGAGATTAAAAACTTACACCAAAAATATAACATCTAGTAAAAATGTTATTGTCTCTTTGGCCAAGAAAATGTGCATAAACTTTGACGATTTTGTGCAAACTTTTATAGTTCAAGATGTAGTTTTAGGCAAATCGAAGTGCCTATGCCACAGTTCCTTGTACAGCAATGAAATTCCTAATTTTATTTAAAGTACTGAAAATTTAACTTACCATGTATATGCAAAGATGCGAAACATAATTTACAAAATAGGTTTTATTTTATTTGGTTACGAACCAGAATTCAAAGCATTTGAAATAAAAGAAATCTGCTCAATCCATAATAAATTATTATTTTTATGTACACCCAAAAAAAAAAATCGACTGAAATCGCCTTTGGTTTTAGAACAGCGGTCGGCACACACATACGTTGACATTTTGTATTTTATTTGTGTGAGTAATTTGCACTGGGCAGCTCATCGATGTGTGTGTACAGACCGCTGTTCTACCCCTGTAGTTCTCAGGGGGGCCGGTGGCACTTTCGGGGTAGAAAGGGGATCGACCACCCAGTGGTCCCTTAAGGGTCAATAGGTGGCGTGTGTATTTTTTACAAGAGCAAACGAGTTATCGGAGAGTGAACACTTCTATGTGAACACTTCTATATGAGTTAAAAAAATTGTAAAATGAAATTTTTGACAAGTTTATAATGATTTTAATAACGAATACAACTTTATTTTGTTTATATAAAAAACAAATTTAAAAAAAGTTAAAATAATAAAATAAAAACTTAATAATGAGATAAAATAAAATAATAAATGATAGAATTTTATTTCTTTTTATATTATTTATATTTAATAATGAGCAATTTAGCTGCAGCAATATTTTTAACAATAGCGGTGGTTCAGTAGCAAAACGTTTTCTTTCCTTCCATAACAAGCGGATTTTATTGGTGCTTAGATATATAAAATAAATATATAAGTACCTAATTTTATATACATAGAACTAAACAAAAATAATATTAGCGAATGTTTTTATTGCCATCGATTATACGATATCGGTAGTCGCAATATTAATCGTAACGGATTGCCATCACTACCCAACTCCGCTACCATCACTAACCCAACGCTTGCGCCAAATTTTGTAAACATTGTATTGTCTTATTGTAAATTGTCTTATTGTAAATTTAAAGTGTTATATTTTGTTGTGTTCTGAAGTGTCGTCAACAGGTGAGTACCGCCATATATGTTGTGCAAGTTAAATCCCTAATAATATGTGATATTCAGCCATGAACAGCAACAGGCACATTCGTCGATTAATTAAAGAGGAAAAGGAGAAATGTCAGAAAAGATTTAGGGAAATAGAGCAAGCGCAGCCGCCAAGTGAATTAGAAGTGTCTGATAGTTGGGCATTTGGTATGTATAATCTCATTACGACCGAATTTGTTACGTAAAGTACATTCGTTTTCCATTGCAGACGAACCTTTTCAACAGCCGTCAGTGTGCACAAATTGTTGCGAAGTTAAGAAGCAAATCGCGGAAATAAATGGTAAAATGTTAAACTTTTTGACGTTAAATTTTGTTTTGCACTATAAACGTTAGACATTTTTTTGTTTTTAAAAAATGTAAAATAATTTTTATTTAATTTATATTATTTTTAAATAATTGTTTCAGTGATGTTTCTTTTCTTAAATATGTATATTTTTTCCTTGCTAAATGCTCTTATAATCAAATTTTAATTTCTTTTAGAAAAACTTGAGGAAATAATTCTTTCCCTTGCGGAACAAAAAATTATTGTTTCGCAACTGGTGCGGCAACGAGTGGAAAACACAAACGTGGCGAAATGTTTCCCAATTAAAGATGAGGAGGCCCTAAATATAGTCAACCAAAATATTAATAGTTGTGCAAAGGACTCCTACGTAAGTCTTTTTTCTTTGAGATAAACATTATAGTGAAATTTTCTTCCTATTTAGATAAAAGCCATGAGATCGTTGTTGCTGCCAGAAGGGGTTTTAAAAAACTTGCGGAGGATTCTCACAGATGAGTTCGTTGTGGGATTTAATGTTAAAGGCCTTTCTGGAAAAAAAGCCTTAAACTCATTTACACATTTTTATGGTGCACTCCAAGGTAGGTTATTTTTATAACTGTATTTTTTATAATATACTTAGTTTCTTGATTCAATTTCAATCTATTTTCTTAGAATGCCATCTGTCTTTAATCCTATTTCTTTCAGTCTTTTTCTGCTTTTCACTTTTAAAACATGATTTGATGTGAACAGGCTTGTATAAAAAAAACTAAAAATATATATATAAACCCATGCAGAGGGAATTATAATTTAGTCCAGAAGTTTGTAACGCAGTAAAGGAGACCTTTTCAAACCTATAAAGTATATCAATTTAACCATGTCCGTCTGTCTGTCGGTTCAAGTTTCAAAAGCGTGAAATAAGTCTACATTTAACTGTTGGTTATTCTTATTTTATATTTATGCTTTTCTAGTCACAATTTTATTCCTGAAAGCTGCAAGGGTATTAAAACTTTGGCTTGCCGAAGTTAGTTTCTGTTCTCATTTTATTTTGAAACACTAAAATCTTATTTTTTTTTAGATATTGTTTCAGAGTCTGGGAATGCAGAAATATTGATTCCCAAGGCAATTCAATTGCAAAAAAAACGATTTTTTAAGAATAAGTCCAAATCGAATAATAACAACAACGAGGAACTCAACAAAAACGTGTCAGCAGGAGTTTGTTCAATAAATATAAATTAAAGAAATAGAAAAATTGTCTACTCATAATACAATAAATTAATTTAACAAAAAGTATTTTTTCTTGGGAAGTTTCATAGCATTCAGCTTTTTTGGTATTGAAAACACCAACCCCATTTCATACCCCTTTTCGCCACAAAAGGGACCGATAGGTGGTCCGATAGATGGTCCGATAGGTGGCCCCTTTTGTGGCGAAAAGGGGTATAATATGGGACCACCTATCGGTCCCTTTTGTGGCGAAAGGTAATGCAGAACTTCGCCATATGACCACCGCCTAGGACATGCCGTGGTAAAAGTGGATAGAAATTTACATTGCGGGTGGTATGAACGGGAGTTAGTCCCAAGCCCCCGGTGTATGGCGATTTCGCTACACCCAAAAAAAACTCGATATGAATCGTAGGTCAATTTGACCTTTTTTAAGATCATTTTTAACTTGATATGGGGCCAGGTAAATGTGATATGTTCGAAATGTAAAAAATCTTATTTCTGACCAAAACGTACACTAGTGCGAGCGAGAAAACATGCTTGAAGTACGTCAGTTCGAATTTCGAATCAGTCTTTCTCCCTTCCACTCATGTCATTTTGCTCGCCATATTGATTCTTGCGCTCTTTTTCGAAGTTAGAGAATCTCCGAGAGAGAGAATTCGGCAAAATGATATTATTTAATGTAAATTTATGAATATTTCAGGTAAAAACGATATGAGTAGGAATAACCAGAAAATTACCTGGACTTATCGATTTTACGGCGACGTGCTTTTTTTTGTGTGTAGTTCGGGACCAGTCCCGGCGAACTACAGGGACGTTATACATGTGCGGGCAGCGCGCCGGCAGAACAAACCCCTATGCTCACTTAATAGGGCGCTGCCGACCGCAGTTTTAGAAAATCGCCTGTGAATTTGATTTACTGGGGATTTTGTCTATATTAAAGAAAGTAGGTTTTTAAAATCAAAGACGTTTTTTCTAAAAATAAAAAAAAAATAGACTGCAATTTAGAAATTTTTTTCTAGAAAGTAAAAAAATATTTCTTAGAATTTAGAAATAAAGGTTTTCGAAAAAATATAAATACGGTGTAGAAAATCTGTAGAAAACAGCTTGATCCGCAGAACCTTTTAGTAGTGGAACACAGATATTACTCGTTAGTATCTCCTTGGTTTGTCTTGACTTCTCGTTATACCCGTTACTCGTAGAGTAAAAGGGTATATTGTTTTTGTATATATCCAGTAAGAACAAATAAAGAAACACTTTGTTGCAGATATTTTAGCTGATAGGAGGCACACGTGTTTATTGAACAAGGAACCAAGTAGAAAGAGGAAGAATAGTATAAAAGGAATAGTAAGGCCGCATAATCCAGAAATGCCAAAAACCTATCGATATTCGATTTATGTATATACTGTTTTTGCTTTTAATAATGTGATATTTACACATACAGTTTTTTAAATAACAAAAAAAAAATGTCTCAAATTCAGAAAATACAAAAATCTATTTTCGGGCTTCGGAATTATACCCGGTTGTTTCTGTGACGCCACGGCCTTTATGTTGTTTTTATACCCTTGCAGAGGGTATTATGATTTCAGTCAGAAGTTTGCAACGCAGTGAAGGAGACGTTTCCGACCCCATAAAGTATATATATTCTTGATCAGCATCACAAGACGAGTCGATCTAGCCATGTCCGTCTGTCCGTCTGACCGTCTGTCCGTCTGTCCGTCTGTCCGTCTGTCTGTTTCTACGCAAACTAGTCTCTCAGTTTTTGAGCTATCGGGACGAAACTTTCGCAAAAGTCTTCTTTCTATTGCAGGTAGTATATATGTCGGAGCCGACCGGATCGGACAACTATATCTTATAGCTCCCATAGGAAGGATCGGAAGAAAAAAACTTTAAAGAATTCTAGCTTCGGTGTTTTTTGAAATATTACCTTCTACTTTTGGGGATGTTATTTTTTAAATATTTCTGAATTTCGAATTTATTATTTAAAAAATCGGACTACTATATCATATAGCTGCCATAGGAACGATCGGAAAATTAATGGAAAAGTAATAGGAAATAAATTCTAGCTTCTTTGGTTTTTATTGTATTATCTTCTACTCTAGGATATAACTCTTTTTAAATATTTCCGAATTTCAATTTTAATTTGATCAAAATCGGACGACTATATCATATAGCTGCCATAGGAACGATCGGAAAATTAATGAGAAATATTAGAAAATTGAACATTTTTGCGATTTGTTAATTAATAGGAATGATCTGCAAGGGTATATAAGCTTCGGCTGGCCGAAGCTAGCTTCCTTTCTTGTTTTTCGTTCTTGTTTGTCACCTTATTTAAATTTCCTTTAATTAAGCACATGGGTGGTTTTAAATTGGAACTGTAATAATAACTGAAATGAGTATACAAATTACAAATTATAAATATAATAAGAGAGAACGCTATAGTCGGGTTGGTGTCCCGACTATCTAATACCCGTCACTCAGCTAAAGGGTGTGCGAACGCTGCAATTGGGTTGGTGTCCCGACTATCTAACTCAATCTTCTAGTTTTTGTAGTTTCTGAGATCTCAGCGTTCATACAGACGGACATGGCTAAATCGACTCGGCTAGTGACCCTGATCAAGAATATATATACTTTATGGGGCCGTGCCGTTTTCATACACCCAAAAAAAAATGATCATAGAAACTAAACTATTTGTACATTAAAAGTAAACTATTGAGTGTCAAAAATTTCTCGATACTCTGAGTATTAACCTAATGACTTCAAAAGTGTTAAAATTAAACTTTTGGAAGTTGCCAAGATTAAACTAACGAGTATACACTTTATACTCACTCAGTGTACTGAAAATTAGGCTGGTGGTTTATTTTGTATACTATTTAGTGTAAACGCTACGCTATGTAATCTCAGTTTTATACTATTTTGTGTACATATTATACTAAGTTCGTGTGCTGTAGTATACTTATTAAACTATTTATCAAGATTGTTAGTATACATTTGAAACTAAAATCCCAATAAAATTGCTTTAAAATATTATTTTATTTTTACACATACACATATACGTTACATATATACTGTTTTAGTTTTTAATTTTTAAACTCGGAACGCAATGTAGTTTCTTCACGATTAGGAAAAATAGTATGTAGGTATTCGTTTTGTAGTTTTTCGAGTCTAAAAAATATTTTATAAATTCTTAATTATAAAAGTTACGATTTATATTATGAATAACTTACCTATAAGATTATAAGACAACATGGGTCCAAGTTGTTTTCATCAAGGAACTTTGTTAAGTGGTCCATTTTCTGAATATCTGAAATGGTTTTTTCACAAGAAAATGAAAAATTGCACCTTTTAATTTTAAAATAAATATTTTACTTACATCTTGACTCAGGATGAATTTCACAGGAATGCAGGACCAAACTCACACTATAAAAACTATAAAGTGTAGGCATGAAACTATTTTGTAGTACGTTGCAACTACATTTTCTTTATACTACATAAAGTTTTTTTTGAAACTACAAGTGTAAATAATAAACTAAGTAGTCGAATAAAATTAGTTTACAAATTACACTAAAGGTTTACGCCTTATACTCTTTGGTGTAGCACTTACACTACAAAGTTTACAGTTTAAACTAATTAGTGTTAATTTAATACTTACACTTTCATACTACCATTAGTATACTTTTAATACAACGCTCATTAAATGTAAACTTTTGGTTTTTTTTTGGGTGTATAAAAACGTTTTAAAAATAAAAATGAAAACGTTTTAAAAATGCAAATTAAAAAAAAATTTGTATGAAACGTTTTACTTTTTAAAATGTTTCACCCCTTATCTTGCACCTACAACTTTTGATAATTTTCTCTGTGTAACTATTAAAATAAACAATTTAAACTCGTTCCTGCGTGAAGTCGAACCGCGGTCTCCGCGGCGCGTTTTGTACAAATGTTTAGTGTCCGGACGCCTCTAACAGATAGGCCACCATACTAGAATACTAAAAAATTACACAACTTTCCTGAAAAATAGGTATTTATTTTCTAGAATTAAAGGCGATTTCACCATTAGCTCAAGAAAAAAGTCCGTAAAATATCGCCATTATCCAAAGAAAAAATTCAACGACTCTTCTTATTCATTTTTTAAAAAAATTAAAGGCAAATTTCCATATACTTAAGAAAATTTTTCTATAAACAAGATTTTTCTTAATTCAATGGCATTTTAAAATCACGGGCGATTTTCTAAAATTAAGGGAAACGCTTCCTTCTCCCTGTTACATACTTTTCCCATTTTCAATATACTTTTGCACGAACAAATTGGTTGCGACCTTGGGGTTCTCCGACATAAACATACCCTTTGAATGCGTTCTCACTGAGTTGACTGCAAGGACAACAGCTTATAAGGTGTGTTTCAAAATTATACTACACCAACACACTTATTTTTTGAAAATTTGTAGCGTTGTTGTTGTTTATAGAAAGCGAAACATTTAAATGCAGATCGAAAGAAGAATGTATGATGTATACGAAAAAAAATACCACGCGTCCTTGATCCTCTTTTTAAGG